AGCAAAATCAAATAATTAAATATCGCTTAATAACTTAGCTTCAACGAAGTTGACCCACCATTTTACATTAGACAAGAAAAATATGTCCTCCATAATAATCTGCGTATTACTTTAGATACGCAAAAAAATCCACAGGGAGGAGGGGGGAAAAGGAACGCAATGCTTAGTAAAATAGGCTATGTATAAGGCCATTGAATCGAATACTATCCCAATAAAACTTTTCTAGATATGCATTTTATGCATCCATTTTTTACCAACATACATTGTGCCCTATTTTCCCCTTCACTCCTCGTTCCGGAATAAAATCATATATCGGAAGTAGAGAACTATAAGTTGCATAATATATATAGGATTAGAATTGATAGTTTTATCTAATATATTTAGTAGAAGTAGATAAGCAGATTACACCCTTTTGGACTTTTATATTTTACCGTTGGATTTCCAGGACAAATCTGAGTATTTCAGAAATTTCGAACTCGTAACAAGATACATAAAAAGCATTTATATACTTAAAAAGTAAAATAATCATCAAGAATCCCATGAATACATCGTGTCAGGAGCCTTGAAATTATTGGAAAAAAAAGTCATAAAGATGCATAAAGCAATCCAAATAGAAGTCTGAGTTAAAAACTCATCAAATGGCCATTAGTAATAAACAAAAGTATGGTAATAAAATATAATGTACAGGAAAAAATCGAAAATGCAGAAGACGCGTCACTTTTTCAAACGAGAAATTATCATTAGGCCAATAATAGTAAGAATCCTAACAATTATCCACATAAAGCCAAGAGATAACCACATAAGCAGGTTGGTTGACTGTGGATCTGAGTCGAAGCCAAGTTGTACTAGCACTTCCCGGCCATTGTGAGGTTGATTGCGGCAGAATAACTCTCCGTACTTCTGTATGTCGCAGTTAAAATGATCAATGTGCTTTAACTCATTACGTAGTAGTATAATGTACGCATGCCTAATGTAAGAAAGCTTTTCGAATACGTAAAAATATGGTCTCAGGCGATCGGTACTAGCGAAAAGGCCACTCGCAAATATGAAAGGCAGATTAATCAATGCCACCATAGTAGTGGCAAGCGTCAGTGATTCAAAATAAGTTGAAAGCAATACGCCAATACCAACACAAACCTCCTGATACAATAGCATAACGCAGAAGTATGTTAAAAAGGCGCCGACAGAGACATAAAGACCTGTTAGAAAATATACAATGATAGATTCTATGAAGCACAAGAAAAACATAAGCGGCATCTGAGCGGTTAGGGTACCAGCAAGGTAAATAAAGCTAGAGTAGGCACCGGAGTTTCGATCATGAAAAAAAAGTACACGAGCTTTATGGAAGGAGCTCAAGACTGCATAAATCGATCCCATCGAACGATTTGAAAGTATCGTATAAAAAAGACCCTGACGATCTTGAATACTTAACGTATCCATGCCAAGACGTAAGAAAATTAAACCAGCCACTAAAGAAAAATAAAGTGTCTGCACAAAAAGTGCGAAAATGAACGCACGGTCCCTTCTCAGCTCGTTGAATCGACGAACAAATACCTCACTGAATTGTATGTACATCGAAGACTTGAATTTCTTTATATATAAGTCGAGAAATTCAAGCGCTATTGATTTTTTGCGTCTCGTCACGACCCGGATGGAGGTAGTGTGCGGGGTGCGCTTGCTGCTCTTAAGATGCTGCGCCCACCGCTCCACAAGCACGCGCGCCGTTGGCTCGTCTTGCAGGAGCATCATGAAGTAATCCCCCGCGGTGTACTGCTTGGGGCACTTGAAGCCGATAGATTCAAAATAGCCCAGGGAGTCCGCCATCGTGCCGTGGTAAGCACAGCGGCCACCCGTCAAAAGCATGAGGTCGTCAAAATACGAGAGCACCTCAGCAGTGGGCTGGTGAATGGTGTAGATGACGGTGCGACCTAGTCGAGCCAGCTCACGCAGCTGTTGAATAATTTTTGCCGACGTTACCGAATCTAGAGCTGAGGTCGGCTCGTCGAGCAACAGGACTTTCGGATCGCAGATGAGCTCGGTACCAATGCTGCATCGCTTCCGTTCCCCTCCAGACAGACAAGTGCTCATGCCGGGGACGCCGACCACCGTATCCTTTGCGTCGAGAAGCTTCAGAGTATTAAGCATCTCCATCACACGTTTATGGGTCTCCTTGCAACTCGTCCCGTGACGAGTGCGCAAAGAAAACCACATCGCGTCGTATGGGGTAACCATTGAAGAAATAATTTCGTCCTGTGGTACAAAACCTATCGCTTTGCGGAAGGTCGGCTCGTACTCGATGTCACCGAGCTGGTGGCTACCAGACAATTTACCATCACTGTCAGAGGTTAACCGGTCGGAGATGGCACTCAAGAACGTCGTCTTGCCAGAACCGGAAGAACCCATGATCGCCAGACAGCGGCCAGAGAGCGCTGTCCCTGTGAGGTTGTCCAGTACCTGCTTGTTACCAACCCGGTAGGTTAGATTGTGCCATGAGAGCGGCAGACTGAAGCCCGTTAGTGTGGTATGATTTATATTGAAAATTTCAGGATCGAAATCAGCGACAGATAAACTTACACACGCGGTTGGGCTTTGACCATGTGGTCTCCGACTAGTCAAAACTATGTCACTCAGGTTTGATTTATTAGAGTCACTTAAGTCCTCGGGGCCTATTGTTGAATTATAAGAGGTCAGTGGTAACATTTGTTAGAGAGGCATATAAATTAATATATAAACTTATTTTTATAGATCAATGTGTATATATAAGTGAAAATGTAAGAGTAGCTTGTTCAATTTTACAAAAAATCAGAGGTAAAATTGGAAATTGTTCAAGGCAAGTTATCAGTTTTTGGCGTACAGACACATCGTGTATTATTCAATAGCATTTCTGAAAGCGTATAGGGTGTAGCTATACACAAGAAAAAATGTTAACCCCTATCATGGGTAGATCTTAGCACCACCACCCCCCTACACACACATGCTCTAACATTCAGGCTATACTAACACAAAAAGATCTAAGTTTAAAACTGCGTTCTGATACATATGTTTTTGCCGATATTGTCGGGATTTGTTATATTAATATTCTTTCAGTATATTAATTAGGCCCGTCCGCTTCAAATCTACCGTTCCACGAATCCCCCCGTACACATCGTGGTGATATCGGTGAATAATAGCCGTGTAGATTAGCAAAGACTCGAAAAGAGAGTTAGGGCCTGGGTAAGGAGTCAAGCGTTGATCTGTAGTCTGAGTGCGGTAGCGTACATAAAAGTAAGGTTCGCCCGTATCCCCTACGCAAATGGCCAAATCCTGGGTTTGGGTGCTACTATGGAAGCCTAATCGGATGTAACCCTCCATTCCCTCCACAGAATTGCGAATCACGTGAAGAAGAATATGTGCATCACAGGGAAATCCTTCGCGCCACGTGTCCGTGTCCCCACTGTTGTGTTTGTAGGAAAGCAACTTTTTGCTTTTGGCCAGCATTCCTAATCGTGACACAACGTAGTGCTGCCGGGCAGCGAGCTCAGAATTGGATGCTACCGTACCCTGAGGAAGCGTTCGTGTCACATCCAACCGTTTTTCTAGTGCCAGTCGCTGGTTATAATACGAAATAACGTTAAAGTTCTGTGGAACGGACCGCTGAAGCTTCTGTCGCTCGGAAAGAATCAGCTCCTGTTTTTGAACCTGCTGCAGCGGTTGCTGCTGTAAAGTCTGTGGCTGGCCCCATGTAAAGGATGGACTTGGCATTGCAGCGGAAGGTAGTTTTACAGAAAGTGTTTCTTGAAGCGAATGATTGCAGTCAAAAGCTGTCAGCTCCTGGCTCGCGAGCCATTGATCACACTGTTCGATTTCACTGTTAAGACGGGAGCAAATGTCGCGAACCCACTCTCTTAGACGAAAAAGTGCATGTTCGGGATCACGGACACCAAAACTTAGCCAATCTACGTCACCAAAGACATGAAACAACGAATGACCTTCATTGTCTGAACCACCAACCGCACCAGTAGCGGCTGGTGCTTCCCTCAGATGTTCCTCACGGACATCGTTGTAGTGCACGTTAATACACCCTTCTTGTGGAAGCCTTCCGCTTCCTGTTGTGATTCGAGCTGGATTAAGCGGGGTGTTCAAAGATAGTGAATGCAGCACAGGCTCTACAATAGCATCTGAGAAGGGCTCAGAGCTTTTGGATCCAATACGTGTCCTAAGGAAGTTCTCTAAATCCTTAGTGTTACATACCGAAGTTGTAGAGGTTACGACGCCTCTTGGACGGTGCGTTGGGCCTGCAGCTACCGTTTGGTTATGTTTACCCAAGGGAATGCTGCCCACCATGCCTAAAGGCTCACCAACGCACAGTTTCTCTGTTCTAATATTCTCCGTTCGGGGATTTAAGAGAAGTGGATTCATAGATGGGATCATGTTGGATGGACGCAAGCTCGATTGCGGGTGATCACGGGTGGTTGGAGAGCTTTGAGGGTGCTCCGTTGAGGAAGAAAGATGTTGAGTATTTGAAATTTTAAGAGTTTTTTTTTCGGGTCGAGTGCAGTATACGAAAGTAAACAATAACGCACTGCTGATAAAGAGCAACGAAAAGATCAGACCTGAAATTGTAGTTATCCAACTATCTTGTAGTACCTCAACTAATACCTCATCAATCCAAATCTGAGATGTTGGCGTCGGATGACTCCAAGAAAAAAACCAACTGATCAGATATAGAGCCAGAAGAACACTTGTCGTATACTTCAGCTGAGTAATACGACCTTCTCGCCCAAAGTAATGGGTTTGTCGCTTGTGCTCGGTTTCTAAAACCCTTTGACAGTGAGAATAGCGCATGGAATTGAACTTTTTCTTGTTAGGTACCCTTTTCTCAATATTTTAAACTATCAAAGGTGCTATGACTTTATTACTTTTTGATATGAAAATTTACAGGGAAACCTAGAATTCTGAATCAATCCTCCATAAAGCTTTCAACGCTCAAATGTTCCAGTGAACCTATAACCGAAGATGCAATAGTATCTTGTTATTGAGTGTACTGACCATGTTTAAAATAATTAGATGCAAAACGATAAAACATGAGCCTTTTTTTTTACCAATATCTTCCTTTTTTATTCTGGATATTAATATATATTATGAAATTTTAAGATCAAGGATTGCCACTTTTTTTTTTAGGGGATCTATTTTCCTGTCTCAGTATTTTCAATCGTCTTCAAAACATCCATGCCCTCCAGACTTTGCCAAACACGACGAGACGTTCATCCAACGATGGTGTGGGAGTAGTTGTAATTTAAAAAAATGGGAGCTGTTCATGTTTCAAACAGAGTTTGCCATGAACAGTGCATCTACGAGGTATTTTACCTTGAAACTTTCAGCTAAGTTATCCTGTAGGTTGATTTGCCAGTGACCCTATTGAATTTAATGATGTCAAAGTCCCGAATCAAAAAATTCCGAATAACTCGATGAAAACTAGAGTTTTTGTATCCAAACCCTTTTTTTACAGATGCATAGATAGTTAAAGTTTTCTGTGGTACATGGTGTTTCCTTATCAGAAAGACCTATCACATTCCGTCCATCCTTTTCACCACCAATAACGATGTTAATGAACACCTTCGAGGCCACTTTATATTCTGTCAAGACATATTTATTTAACAGTGAAATCACTGGAATAAACGCCAGAAGGTGCTTGAAAATATCTTTAGTTATTTGGTAAAAAAAAAGTTGCTTTAATTAACTTTTTTATTAGAACAAAAAATTCTAACTTTTATAAATTAATTTTACTCGGATTTTAGATCTTTAGTGGAAGCTATCTTTGAAGACGATATCCACACGACACAAAAGTTAATAAGAAATGCATTTCAGATAAAAAGGAGAGACTTTGAAAAAATAAAAGCTCTACTTATATATATATATATGTGTATATATTCGATAGCGTGATTGATATATATATATTTAAAGCGGATTGTTGTAGAGGTTATAATACTGTATAGAATACGCTTTTTTTGACTCAGCTAAAGTTACATTTAACTCTCTACATTACAATACACACACACACATTCACACGAAAAGAAGGAAATACGAAGATATTTAATGACTAAAATAAAGTGATCAATCAAAGCTAGCGTGCGAGTTGACGAGAAGTCATAACATCCCGGAGGGCGCGAAGACCTGACTTCTTTGCACTTTCTTTTGAAGCATTGACAGCAGATTGATGGCTTTCCTCGCGACGCAAACGGTCACGTACCACCATAAGTGTTACACCCATTAGATTTTTTCCTGTGCCATTGCCATTGTCACCCCAAAAGTCGTCTTTTACAGTGTGGTCCACCAAAACCCCCTGTTCCGTTCCCAGAAGAATTTTTCTAGGCTCCTCATTTTGTTTAAATTTAAAATAAGTGCCTAATAGCATCACATCTAATTTGATGCGGTTCCACTGCGCTCGTTGGTGGCCTTTGGCTTCAGCCTCCTTAACAAGACGATCCAACTCCCATGTTGTGGTGGCCCGTTGAATGCGCTGCTCTATTGAGAAGTCCTTGAAACGTTCACAAAGGAAGTAGTGATGAAGGGAAGGGTATTGACGGTGTCGGATAATCACTGGATGAGGTGATAAGGGGCTAAGCATGCCGTATATTGGATCCTGAACATCGTGAAATTTAATTATTTTAGCTGAGGTACTTTGAGGTTTTCGGGTAGACATCCTTTGCTATTTCTTTGCAAAGATAGTTGTCAGTAGGAAGTGAAAATAAGTTTATTAAATACATGAATATAGATTTGCAATCAGTTTCCCATCACTTGGAATGGTTTAACGAGAGATCCTTATTTTTTCAGGTTTCAGGATTGTAGAGAATGATAAAGAAAAGAAAAAGAAAGCGCATGCTGATATGTATATGGATTAATATGTTTCCCTCTTTATCCTCTACAAAATTAGATAGCTAGCTCCAATCATTGAACATCAATGATGGAACAATAAAACGAAATATCTACTCAAAGTTTTTTTTTAAACATAATTTCGCCACAAATTGATTTTTCTCACAATGCATATCTGATTTACAGTTTCAATTCTACGGTTATATAATCAAAATTTTTCGTTACGCATGCTGTTCGTGTTTTCCCTGAGTAGGTCCTACGACTTTGCCCTGTCTTTCCTTCTCAACTATCGCTTTTGCTTCAATCCTTGCGTAACTCAAATGTTTCTGAGCGCACACATTCTTTAGTGATAATGAGAAATTTAACACTATCACCGGTAAAAATATCACGCTCTGAAGCCCCTGTGAACGCATTTTTAAGTATTGACAGTGTGTCCTCCTGTGATAGCTCCGGCGGGGCTTGTCCATTGAAGTGCTGCTGGGTGAGGAGACAGTCTAGCAGCGGCTCTACAAAGCTGGAAGCAGTGCCCTGAGTGCCGTATTTAAGAGGCTCCGTTGACCCCACCGCATCGTAGCTATAACACACTCCCTCGCCCTCCTTATTGAAACCGACAATCATATTGAAGGTGTAGTAAGGAAAGAAACGACGTTGATACAGCAATGTAGACAAGAGCTGGGCAACCGCAGTCGTTGATGGCATTTTACCTCGGTTGTTGTAGCGGTACCACTTGATCCGGCACTTCATCATTTCCTGTAGTTGCAACCGGTCCGCCTGCATTCCGTTGCTGGCCATGAAGGTGTTCTCCGTTAGCTGGAAAATTTTGGACTCGTCGTGGCGAGTGTGCAAGCAGAAGTTCCCATTCAGACGCGTGTCACCCGCTAAGATGACAAAGTCCTTGCCCGCAATGGCAGCTGTGGTGCCACCATTATCTGTGTACGGGCTCCAGTCGGAATGCTGAACCGCACCCTTTTTGGGCAACCGAAGCACAGAGCTTGCGAGCTTCTGGGAATGGTTTGCCTTGGCGTATTCGGAGTGATCCTCAATCATTGCGATACAATATTTTTTAAAAATAAATCTTGCTCAACGTAAATCAAAATAAGCTAAATAGTAAGAAAGGAGGTGTTGATATAATAAAAATAAAGGCGAAACAGGGCTAGATATTGATTGACAACACGAAACGGTCGATAATTTTTATTTATGACTATTTGAGGCCAAAAAGGTTATTTGTAAAGCTTGAAACGGGAATTCAGCTGAAAGAGTCTACACCCCAGAGCCCCCCTGAGCATTATAATCCTTAAAGGATAAAGAGAAAACCTCACTTCATTTGCACATAGGAGTTGAAATATACGAAAAAAGGGCCTAAGAGAGGGTCTTGTAACTTTAACTCTACTTCGTCCTCTTCTTCGTTCACATTAAATGAAATCGATTCACGTTGAAGTCCTATTTTTAGAGTTAAACTAGAAACGAAATGTCAGCATATTATCCATGGGATTACGATATCCGCTTGTGACTATACTTGTTGATGAACTCCAACTCCAGTTCTTTATCCTCCACACGTTGCCGATAATGAGCCCGCGCTGCTTCACAAGAGGGACAGGTATCACCCTTGGCTTTGATTCGTCTAAACTGCATATAAATCTCATAAGCAAAAAGAGAGATGAATGTTAAGGAAGAAACAATCCACATGCTGTAGTTTTGCGAACCTTCCTGAAAGCCAAAGTCTCGTGTATTAAATATTTCCCATGGGCGTTCCCGTGGGCGCCGTGCCTTAGGCATACGCATACGGCGACAAAGCGTACAATACAACATAAGAATACTATTATCACGGAACCTTCTTCCGGAAATTGTATTAAAAATTCAAAGTAGATAAACTGAGATCAAAGTCACGGACAGTGAAAATTTCGGCCAATTTATCACATCAAGCGCAAAATGATTCTTTTTCATGACTCTGATAATTAGCGGCACAACAACATTAAATTTTAATGATACACAATCTATAACAAAAATGTTGGAAATATCCAAGCTCTCCTGGTCCTAGCAGGTTCATCGTACAGAAAGTGTTACCCCTTTTAAAGTCCTCCCATTTTTAAATTTACTCCCCCCTCCCTTCCACACACACACAGACACAAAAGATAAAGGAGTGAGTGCAGTTTCCAATAAACACAGATAAATAATTTAGATTGCATTTTCGAAAATTTTAACCTAATAAAGGTAGAAATCAAACTATTAGAAATGCTACAATTGAACCCCCTAGAGTCGATTTCCAACATCCGCTGCAGGGGAAAAAACGTTTATTCTTATTTTTAGATGACAATTTGTTGATAAAGTTAATAAAATTTATTAATAGAAGAAATATATATATATATATATCAACCTATTTAGATAAAATTGATAATAATAATTGCCTGTATGAGTAAAAAAGATATGAAAAACAAAAGTTACGTTCACCGTTTAGGTGTTAAACACTTGCAGGGGTTCACAAATGCCAAGGTAGGAAACCAAACTAAAGAGCACACATGTATTGCATTGTTATTGATAATTCTTGAAGTTTACTGGGGGTTGTAAAAGGGTAGGCAATCTGAAAACAAATCCATAAATTTTGGATCCTCTAACACACGATCGCAGGCCTTACGAACCGCACCGTTAGTGGCCCGTCGCTCAAAGACCATCAGTGTGCGCTCTTCCATTTGCAGTGGCGTAAAAAGAGGGCTGCTGTATCGCAACCGGTCCTCTTGATCGAGCCGGATGAGTGGCTGTGATGGTTTCTTGGGGTTGAAAAAGAGAACACTTTCCAGTGGATCCTCTTGGCCTTTGCCTTGGTTAATAACTACCACTTCTGTAATAAAATCGTCTTTACCTATCGGGAAGGAAGGATGTGCATGATCAATGATACACTGGCACCAGTCTACGTCACCTTCCTTTAACCTAAACGGATTGAGATTCGTCATATTTAATGATGAGGCGAATATGGTGCGATAGATGTCTCGTGTGCGCAGGCGCTGAAGAAGGAGTTGTGCTGGTCGAAGCTGAGGCTCATCACTAGCTTCAATTGCCTCCAGGATCCAGTCACCCAACTTGAGAAAAAGGTTCTCATCCTGCGCACACTCTACAATGGTGTGCCCGCAGATTTTAAAGTACGGTGCCGCTAAGTAAAAAATATCCCCAATCATGTGACCAATAGCCTTTGTAACTTGATGTTGATAAACATTTTTATGCAGCTTTGTACGTAACAAGAAAATCTCGCGTAGAGACAAGGCCAACTTCTGTTCAAATGCAAGTTGCCACTGATTGTTCTCGCACACTAAACGGGAAGAATTAAAGAGGCGGTTCACCCGGACATCAACGGTGGGCTTTCCAAAACAACACATGGAATCGCGTATGAAGTAATCTAGTCGATCTACATCCACACCGTTGCGCTTGTTGCTGACGATTTCACTATAAGGAACATGAGGGGCAGCGACACCTCGCATAAGATTAATCACCGCATCAACATGTGGCTGTGGTATGAGGGGCCTTAAGATGCATCGAGCTATTCGCTCGGACATGTCTTCATGGTTAAATTCGATACCAAAGCGTTTCAAAACAACGTCCTCAAAGAGGTGAGAAAAGGGACCGTGACCCACATCATGCAAAAGACCCGCTAGCATCCCAATGTGGATGTCAGCTTCATCTAACCCAAGGTCAGGTTGGTGACGCTGGAAGTTTTGCAGAAGAGTCCGTGCCATATGCGCGACGCCGATACTATGCTCAAAGCGGGTATGCACCGCACCAGGATACAAGAAAGAACTAGCCCCGAGTTGATGAAGGCTGCGCAATCGCTGAAAAAATGGAGTATCTATTGCAGCTACCACTAGTGGAGGTAAAGTAATATGCTCATAGACACGATCTAAAATCGTCAAGTCACGGATTCGTCGCAAAGACATCGTGGGGTACTTTAATTTTTTTTCGTTAGCGCTTTTCAAATAATGGTTACCTTTTAGCTTCTTGGGATAGGGTCCTTTATGGGCACTGAAGTTGAAAATGTCTATATAACGTATGTTTTATTCGATACTTTCTATAAGAACCTAAAACCCAATATTCTAAAATGCCGCACTTGCAGCTTAGGTTTTAACGCCAAGGGCTTAAAAGAGTAGGTAAATTGTCAATAGGGTGCAGAATTATACAGTGGAACGCCTCGTTAGGCAAAATAAAAAGCGATAATTACAATAAGAGTAGCCTTCTCTAGCTAATTAATTTTATGGCAGATCATTATCAGGTCTCCTTTTTCTTACTATTTTAAACGCATTAACAAGGTTAGTAAGATATAATTACAGGTGTGCGCCTCATTTTCCACCCTCTAATACAAAATTTGGAATGAAATCATTTATTTCATACGTTGTTTCACAAGCCGAGCAACGTAACACACCGCTCTTCACATCTACCATATTCATGGCATAGTGCAATGCGTGCAAAAGCTCCGAATCATCACTCAAGTCTGCAGCTTCCAAGCTCTCCGGAAAGGAAAAAGAGCCGCATTCATTACCGCTATGCACTATATCGTGTTTTGCTTGTAGAGCCTGATACGCTTTTAAGAAGTAAGACCACTCGATGCGCGCCAGCATGCAGCGCGTGAACTCGGTATCAAACTCTAACGGTATGATTTTAACTTCTGAAGCATTTATTTCAAGAGGAAATGCTTCACAGCGCAAGCAAGCAATAAAATTATGGGTTAGTAAGCGCATGAACAGCAAGAAATAATTTAGCCTTGATCGCTCTTTTTCTATTGCTATAAGAAGAAAAACAAGTGAAGCCTAAAGAAACTTGAATAGTGAAATGAGAACAGTATTATGACCTTTTTATATTTAAGAACCAACAAGGGCGCAGCTGATCATTTTCAGATACATATCCAGCTTGCTTTTGCTATTTTATCTATGTACAGGCGCTAATTATCTGATAACACCAACATGAAATTAAAAGAGAAACGAATGATTAATAGGTTCATTCCGATATTCCAGCATGAATTGAAAACAAATAGACCACTTTAAAAAAGAACACATAAAACGGGCGATCCCGTGCATGCATTACAAACGTTGTTGAGGACGAAAGCCATACTTCTGTATGCCATTAGTGCTAGTTGCGATTCTCTCTTTTTGTGGATTTTCTTCATAAGCAGGATTTAAGTGCTGTGTTGGCGCTACAAGCTGTTGTGACTTATCGAACAAAGCAGACTTAGTGTCAGGAAGGTTCTTCAGAATCTCCAAGGCGTTGAACCCTTGCCGCGGAGTCGGTGTACACCTGGTTATAATTTCATCACAGCGTTCTTTTTTACTAAATTCACGGTGGAGTGGAGAAGAAAATGGCCGAGAAAATTGCACTGGTGATACCAGCTGAGGCAACTTCGGTGAGTTTGATACTAACAAATGGGAGTCATCGGTGTCACCCATTTCATTTATGTTGGGCTTGTTATCACGGCATTGCATCTTCTGTAGCTCGGTGTTTTCGTGACAAAGCATCATGTGCCCAGATGAAAACGAAGTTTGGCAAGCTTGACTATATCGAGCCAACGGTGGTCTGTTAGAAGCATTTTCTGTAGTTAAGTGCTGCCCCCACACAACACTTGCATGACTAGCAATCAGCTCCTTAACTTGCTGCTTCACGAGTTCCTCATCCAACAGCTCCTTTGAGTCGGATGGGATTCCCAAAGCGGTACGTAGTATAGTGTTTTCTGCCTTTAGATGGGAAATAGTGCGCAAGAGATCACGTCGTTCTTTTACTTGTGAATCAACACGCTCTACGGCGACACTACGAATCTGCCGAACACGCTGAGCAAAATGTAAAGTTCGCAATGATTCCTCAACAAAGCGACTCGACGGTGTAACACAGATGATAAAAAGTGTGCGGCTGTTGCCCTCCAGACTATCCATCAGGAGTTTTGTCAGTACACTCGAGCGATACGGCACAAAGGAGCCCATTGACAAATTATTTTTACCATTTTGGAAAGGAAGCAGGTCGTTTGAGTCATTTTTTCTACCGGCGGGACCTGTCTCCTTGTTTAAGGGGGGTGAGGGATTCTTCTTGTTAGAACTGGCACCAACATTAACAGGTTGGGTAGAGGATAAGGCCTTAATAACGTTGGTCAAGGCAAATAAGGAAAGATTAATAGCTTTTGTATCGTCGTTGGCTACATTACCAGTGTCCTTGAGACGCTCAGAGCCCGCCAAATCAACCAAAGTCAGTTTTCCGTAACGGATGTATGAATTACGATAAGCATCTTCTGCTGGTGAATGGCCAGTGTTTGTCTCAAAGTTTATCGTAAAGAGTGCATGAGAGCGACTGCTAGTAGCGTTGAGCATGTGCGAAGCCTGTTGTCGACGTGACTGTCCTTCACGCAACACTAAAAGAAAATCTTCCTTTTTACGACACTCTACCTGAAGCAAATCCTCTACATAAAATGTGCGGCGCTCTGCTGACCAACGACATTTAAGTTCGCGTCGTCCCTGCAAAAGGTCATAAATACGCTCCTGATACAGCTCGATATAGGAGGCTCGAGCCACTAATCGCGGACCGGAATCTGAACGCATGGACTGCTTGAGTTTTTTAAGGCACTGTGCAATGTAAATAACAGATTGATAGGCGACTCCAGTCTCCTCAATTAATACAGTTTTTTTACCCTCCATGTCTTGATCTTGCTGAAGACGGTCCTTTTTCATTTCAGGATTCACGCAGTGGTTGTCATTAGCAGTTGCAAGGGGACCACTCATAGTAAAAGATTTGCCACTTCCTGTTTGGCCATAACACAGAACAGCAGCGGCCTTACCCTCCAGCATGGCTACATCACAGTATGTGTAGAGTTGAAGGAGGTCAAAGACGTCTGACTGTGTGGCGTCTGGGCCCAACACTGCATCAAACGCAAACAACTCACTAGTGGTTTCAGAACCCTTCAGTAGGTCCAACGTTGGTGTCTGCAAATGCATCTTTTGTTTTCTACCCAACAGAGAAAGGTGTACCTGTGCAGCGTAATGTGCGCCTCCTTTTAATTTATTGTTTTTCTCCTTCTTCTTACCACTTTCCTGTTGGTTGAATTGTGTTTGCCTTAGGGACGGGTTCCTTGGTTCATCAGACTGCTTCGATAAGACCACTGGAGAGGCTAAAGAACTAGACAGATTTTGAATAATGTGGGATGTCTCATTTAGTGAACGCGACGGGTAATAGGACTTTTTTATAGGCGCGATCGTGATCACTTCTGTTTCGTCACGGTCTACTTCATGTTTTAATAGAGGCCTAACTCGGAGAGCGACGTATATATGGTCAGTGTTGCTCCCAGAGTTGGTTTGGGCATCCTTTGAACTCATCAGATTCTAAAAGATCCGAGGCGCAGACAATTGTACTCTATGCTATATAACGTTTATCCAACACACCATTGAAGGGAAAAATAGACAAATTAACAAGCCACTACCCACTGAACAAACACTTTTCAGCAGTAAGTTGATAATTTTGTAACGTAGAAAGAAATAAGCTTACTTCCACATGTATGATGTATTGTCACTGTCAATACATTAAATGCATATGTAGAAAGGAAATGTAACTTCTAAAGAAATCCGATGGGAAAAAATATTTACATATATATATAGTTATGGATAGATAGATAATCAGAATGAAAGCTACCATTCAGATGATTTTCAACTCATGTTTAAGATTAAGGAGAAAATATAGATCATCTTTCATCACCGTAATTTAATACCTCCGAAGAGGACTAATTGATGCCGAGAGCAACTTCAAGTGCCTTGACACGTTGCAGAATGTGCCACTGTTTCTGCCGAAGCTCATGATCGATGCTCATGTAAATATCATCCACAGCCTTTTGAGTTCCATGCGTCTCAAAAAACAGAGTCATTTCTTTTTCAATTTGCTCTGCGCGAGCGAGGCGCTCCTCACTTGCTATTTCTTCTTGATATTTAACCCCAAGTTTATTGATTTCCTGCTTTTGCAGAGTCTGAAGTACAGACAATGGGGATTCTGAAACTCTCTCGCGGGACTCCCCCTCAAGTCCTTTTCCTGACGAAGACGGGAGCGTCACCGCAACCTCCGCGGCAGGAGCAGCTGCGTTAATAATAGGTGTGGTAACAATCGTGTTGGTGCGACCGGTTTTGATGGGAATTGATGGAACCGGCTCCACTGTCGCAGAATATGTAGATAACATCTCATTAGAAAGGTTCAATGGCGGAATGGACATGGGTTCCTCTAAAGGTAGAAGAAAACAGTTATTTGATCCTGCTTGCAATTCCTCTACACTCTTCTCTTCAGCCTGTGGATACTGGGATAGATATTGATAGAGCGCCGCATGCTGTAACAAGCCTTTGTATAAATAGTTTAAAAAATCAGGTATTTCGACTGGCGTGAGATGAATGTTCTCACTAGGCATTGATGCTGACATCGTCGCTACAATTTGTCGTTTCTCTTCTTCTAGTTGTTCCTGTTGCTGCTGAAGTAATTGCTGTTGGCGGCTCGTCTTTTCACCTTTGCCCTTCCTTTTAACAAGTGTTGCCGCTGCTGGGGGCTTCTCAGGGCCAAACCCAGAATCGTCGTCAAATCGCAGTGTAGAAACGTTTAACATGGGACCTGCCCCTGGTGCTGAAACGCCAGAAAACATGTCTGCAGAATGATGGATCCGTTCCCATTTACAACCCAAATCAATTTCTTTTATCACAAAGTCTTTTAGCTGTTGCTGAACTTGTATCCAAAATGGAGTCGTCAATGATCCCATTTCAGCAGCCGTACTAATCATTTCGTCGTCCTTGGTGGGGAGTTCAGGCAAGTCAAATCTGTTTTGTAATGATGACAACGTATGGCTAACACTTGATAATGTTTGAGAATACTGTTCTTCAGTAGCTAGATCTTCTTTCCCCGTCACTATCGCCTCTTCATGATGCAATTTTTCCTTTTCAACAAGCTGTTTGAAACTCAGCAAACACTCCATTATGTATTTAGCCTTGAGCGGACGAAACCCATTGGCAGCGCAGTAGCGTGCAAAGTCTACCCATCGATCTACTTCAATCTGTTGGCCGAGGTCCACCCAGTATGTACGCGGCACTTCGTCTGGTGTGGGTATACTATTGTTGTTGTGGAGGGCATTCGCTACACAAGATGTGAGTGCTAAAATTAATTCTTCTTCGTTTGACACCGGGGCCTTGTTTGTGCTACCCTTGTTGCCAACAGAGGCCTCAATTATTTGAAGGAGCTGCTGAATAAGAGACTCTGTGCAGGTATTACTATTCCTGGTTTTGTGTAAGCCGACAGGAGAGATCGGTGGTTCTTGTTGAGACACAGAACTCTTTTCTACATTTTTTTTCGCTGGCATTGTAACTCACAGAGTATAAAATTTTTTTTCTCCCTTCAGTATATCAAAAAAGCTATAGTAGCCATTCTTATTATATTTTAGAATAAAACCAGGGCATAGAATGTAAAAGCAAGGCTTTTTTTTTACCTTTTCCAGTTTTGATTATCATCATACACAAAACATGAACCATATTCCATTTCCTCAATTTAAAGAAGAGAAATGGAAAATTTAATATAATTTTATTGGTAATAAAAACATCTAGTATTAGCTCTGAGTAAACAAATTGATAAACAATATCTAATTTCGATCTACAAAAGGGTTCGCAGTAATTTCAAGGGAGGTGAGCAGAAGATGGTTGCATCTTAACTCAAGACTAGCACACAGACTACACAATAAAAAAAATTTCACACTCTGAAAGGATAAAAAAAGGGATTCATTTTTTACTCGAAAAGTTGAGAGTAGAACAAATGAACAATATTAACAACATGGATAGAAATGAGTATTTCCTATTAGACCCTTCTATGACTTTTTTAGTAAAGAACACATTTGTCTAGCCTCACTTAAAGTCTTAAACCCAAAAACCACCTGCGAGGGTCGTGTGGAAGTTCTGATAACTGCGGTAAATTGTTTTTCCCGTATATCTTCATCTTCTTGCATAATGTGAGCCACAACTGAATCCTGAATGTCGTCGAAAGAAATACGGATCATCTGAAAACCGTCCTTCGGGTTGCGCTGCTTCCAGCGCAAGCAGCCTTGCCCATAGTCAATGTTCACTACAGCTGTTATGGGTGTCTTAAAGGTGCCTATTAGGCACCAAAGAGGCTGTAAGCAGTATCGTGTATTTGAAGATTGCATAAGTACAGTTGCTTTGGGGTTATTCCCCTCGTGTAAAACGGTTTTCATACGATCCCCACCTCTGTACAGTGCAGAACGTGTGCCGCTTCTAGAATCAAGAAACCCACGTGAGGCAGGTTTAGTTATGGAAATAGAACATTGCGTATCAAAAAGCTCGTCAGTGACGTGAATGGAGCTCAAGCCGCGAAACATAGCAGGTGCAACGGACACAGAGGTGGTGGCATCTGAGTCTTGGTTTCGAATTGAAGGAGGTGCGTGAAGAGCATCACCCGCATCCCTCACGTTTTCATAAGCATATTGATTTTTTGAGTAACACATATCAACCGCAGGACGATTGAGTCGCAGTAAAAACGGTTCTTCATATTTCCTTTCCCACTTATATTCACCTTTTACATGGTCAATGCTGTTGTTCGCAGTACCGCCAAGGTTTTCAGTAGCAGAGTAAGCGCAGTGACGCTTCTGTGAAGCCATAGGTATCGAAGAAGACACCTTCTCACGTCTCAGACTAGCGCCATATCCTTCATACTGAATAGGAATAGCCGTCGGAAGCTGCGAAACTCGTTCAGTTTCAGTATGGCTGTTGCTGACACCAATGCTCATCGATTGTGGCTGCCATTGAGAATTAAGCGAATTCTCATGTGTCATGTAGAATTGCTTAATATCACCTGCGTTCTCAAGTCGACGGCGCTGAGAACTATTAGTACAATTTTTCAGAATGTTACGTCCAGCAGTCTGCTCCATTATACCTTTCGCGTGTTGAGACGCCGTGGATCTTATCGGAAAATGATCGCTACAACCGCACTGGATACCATTAAGGTAATGGGCCTTGTTCGCTAAATTGTAATCGCAAAGAGGTTCTGATATTGCCTCATGATTTGGCTTTGGTGTTTGAAAAGGGATGTTGGCATCCACAGAGCTCAATGCCTGCTTGACATTATGAAACCGATTTGATCCTGAGAATGGATTAGGTACTTGGTGCCCAAGATTGCGTTCATGTTCATTCGAAGTATAAGTTGAGACATTAGAAGAAGGGACAATACTTATGGAACGAGAATGTGAGATGGTACTGGTGTTAGGCGAAACAATCCTTACCCGGGAACGGGAACGAGGAGTCATCAACTCTTGAAACCTAAACTTGAATAGCTTCTTCTAACTCTTGTAATGTATAATCTTTTTATATGGTTGAAATATTAATAAACGGGTATAAACAAAAAATGAAGATACATATTCAATATTCATGCTAGATATTGTCTTTGAGGTTCAGACTATGTGATCCACTTTTTCTCTTCATAGCGATGGGTAACTAAACCTAGTAAAAAACAAATATCGCATGAAATTGCACAAATGAATATGCGGCAGCAAACGTATTTTTGAGAACACTTCAGATTTTTCCGTAGTCTCCTTAATGTATAGGTGTGGATAAAAATTTATCAAACGTTAACGCATCCAGCATATGAAGCGGTGGAACTTTATAAGGATTATAAAAGGCTTCCAATTGTTCTAACCATGTTTCAAAATCAACATCCTTGATCTCCTCTTTTTCCAAATTAAGTGAGGACGAAAGCACTTCTTTTTGTGTTCGCCGGTCTTTCCCCTTTTTGTGTCGCTTTAATTTATGGGCTTTGATGCCTTTGGATTTGATAGTATCATTAACTTCTTGACTGCTGCTAGTCATTACAAGGCGATGTAACGTCCACACAATGTAACGGTACTCTGGGCCTCCGCTAAGCACTTCCGACCGAATTAATGGAACCTGACAGCCCTCCTTTAACTGAACAGCAATTCCCATACGCTCGCTACAGGCATAAATAGCACCTACCGAATTCACCGGAAGAATACATTGAAATACGCTAGGAGAATCATTGGCACGGATTTTGTTATTCATACTAGGCTCATAAAAGTTGTTTGGATTGTCCATACACCATTTCCAATGAGTTTCTGTGAATTGCAGCATAAAAGGCGATGGGGAAACCGAAGAAAGTTGCGGAGGTCTCGGTGTCGCAACCTCACTAAGGTCATTGTGATCAAGTCTTTTCTTTTTAGTTGTTTTATCAGGTGTAAGATTGCTGACTCGGGAAGATGATTGTTTACACCATCTTGTTGCTGTCTTAGTGTTGCGTGCTTCTAACTCCTTCGCACTACTTGAGCAATTGTTATTTTCAGATTTTTTATTGGAATCTAGAGCTGATATATTGTCGATCGTTTCGGCAGCGGTAGCGTCTAAAAATTTTTCCTCTTGCACACGGAAAATATGACGACCTAAGCGAACGGCACGTAGATATGCAGTAGCTGGCCGATGCACTACTTGGGAAATCATTGAAGCGGGTGAAAATCTAGTGTTTATCGCTTTAGTAAGAAGACCTGTGCTGCAGCTGCTAGCGTGAGACTCAATAAGTGACATGCTGCCATCTCTACCGGCATTGTACTCAGTTGTAAGCCGAGAAGCCACTGTTTCAGAGCGTGGCGAACTTCCTTCATTGTGTTCATTGTGGATGTCCTCCATCACCTGCTCCACACGTTTTGATAAAAATGACGGCGCCGGTAATGCCGCCTCGCCCTCTTTTCCAAAAACTGTCATGTCCTTCTCCTCATGGTTAATGAGAAGCCTCTCTATGTTTTCATCGAAATCTACTGCAGCACCCACAAAAATTTTGCATGGGTGAAACTTACTCTCCTTCATCTGATTATCATCCCAATCAGAGGGATCAGTTTGCCCACTCCATACCTGCTGCTGAGGGTTAGGGTTGTTAAATAGTCTCTGTGACACCGTGGCAAGCGGTGTAATTGCGACACTACCTGAGGGACATGTTAAGACCTGCCCAGGGGTCAACATGTCGCTTGCAGTCATGATTGCAGGCTTCCCCTGCAACGTACGTAAGACTGTTTCTACAACTTCTCGTTCCTCACACTCAAGGCGCTCAGGAGTGGGATACAGGGTCGGAGTAGGCTGGTAAACGCGCTCGGTGACCCCGTCCTTCCCGTTAAGGATATTCACCCTCCAAGTGCATAGCTCTGGCCCATCAAAGGCATTAGGGGGTAGTACTTCACCAACGAGAACATCTCGCATACCACCGAAAATACATGAATCGCCGTCCTTGAGGAGGACAGGCTCAATATTTCCTATACGAGTGTTGTTGACAAAAGTCCCATTACTACTACACATATCTAAGATGTAGAGACTCGGCAACGGCAATGTTTGCCTAGAATCTGGAAGTGAAACTGTGGATGGCATACTCAATGTTTTCTCCTTGTCGTCATCCTTATACGCCTCAGTCGGTACAGGAGGACTGATGCAGAATAAACTACACTGGACCTGGGAAGCAAACACCAACCAAGGATCCAAAACCGCCGCGCAGTGCAAGCCTCGACCAATAATAACGGGTGTGCTGTCTCCCGGTACCCTTAAGCGAAAGCGTCCGTTTATTTCGGGAGGGCCTCGTACTAACACAAAGTCAACTTCAAAATAGCGCATTTGCCCTCCTGCGCTTTGGGGCCAAAGGTAAAATATAAGTAAGGGACGCAAGTAATAAAATTGGTTACAATAATATAAATTGAAAACAACTAACAACTCGTGTTTGAATATAGATTTTCAACAAGTCTATGAAAAAGATAAATATGAAAATAATTTTCCTTGGAAGTATATATATATGTATGTTGGTGTGTAAGAATCTATCTTGAATTAAGCATCTAATGAAGAAAAAAATGCTATAAAAGTAGATATTTTTCCATTTCCAAGGTTCATTAAAAATATAAAACTGAAGCTATAGCTGAGGCAAAACAATAATAATACTAAAACTAATAATACAAAATCTCCAATAAGGTACCAGCGGTATAGTCCAAACAAATGCAATGATATATCTTTATTTAGAAACAATTTTGATAACGCGTCCTTTTTTTCGTTGCATTTCCCTTTAAACCCAAATAATTTTACATCACTTTTTCTCAGGAAGTCTAATTTAAAGAAATAATAAAATCAGATTAGTACCACACTATTCGCTGCATTGTATCATGGAGTAATTACAAACTGTTTTCTACTATTTTACTTTTGGAGTTAAAGTAAAAATATCTTTCCTACACTTTACATATTCATAGAAGTAGCCCCATTAAATTGGCAAAGAATGCTTTTTGTGAACTTATGTGACAAGCCGTATTTTGAGCAGACGCTTTGCGCATCTTTGGATGTGCTATTCCTACCATACTCATTGTTGGATGTAGTGTACAACGGATGAGATGAACCTTGACCCAGCAAGCGACTCATTTTAGAGTCCGCACGTGAACCTAAAATTTCACGTTCAATGTCATCGCTGCTTATAACAACCTTTGGGCGGTCTAGTGAGAACGATCGGATACAACGTAGTTCAAAGTCTTCGTCTTTTGGTGTTGTAAGGGAAATACCTAAGTAGTAACCCATGAGTTCCTCCGCCATGATCAGCTGAGATTTATTATCGTCACTAAAATTTCCTGCTCCTTCAAAAGCATTCGTGAACGCCATCTTCACTTCATCAGGATCTCGCATATGATTCGAAACATCTGGGTGTCGCATTGTGTCGTACTCTAGGTCTATAGTTTCCAACGGGATGAGTCCTGTACACTTTGGATCAATTTTCTTTAAAATTAAATTTAACACATAACGGCGTCGAGGGGAAAATAACTCAAAAATCTCATTAATTAATTCAGGCACATTCACGTTAAGCTCACCGTACGATTCACACAAATCTGCGTAGTTACTATCAGAAATGAATATACCTAATTCGCGCAGAGCCTCTCGAAGCGCGGCTGCCTCTACAGGTGGAGGTAGATTTATAATCGCCCTTATGAGTTTCCAGAATTGCTTCCTATTTAGTCGCTCAATCGCTTTATGCGAGATGTCCAAAACCCAGGATTTCGGCATTATTTTTAGAATTTGACAAAAAAAAAGGTTATCTGAGACTGTAACTGTAAGTGCACCCTAAAAAAAAGACAAGCAATATAGCAAGCCAATAACACTTGAAAGAAGTTTCATAGTATTCGGTTATCAAGGGCATATAATTAACAGCACAATTGAAAGATAATTGCTTTGCTCATAACTACGTGTCTTGAGTTTGGTTGAAATTTATTAGAAGGAGGAAATAAAGGCTACAACAGGCGGTTATCGGATTTATTTATATACTTTATTTCCACTTGTTTCTTTGACTCTCGTTATTTTCTATTGGAAACAACGCAGTTCCCACTAATAGCAGTGCGGTGCGCACAACATCTTTTATCAACCAACACGATGGAACTAGCAAACAGACGACCACTGCACCAGCAAAATGAGACAATACCATGTAAATTATCGCCGTTTTCAGAGATTGAGTACAACTCTGAACGCGACGGCACACAATCAGCGCCGATATTAACTGCAAGAAACCTTCCAAAGCAGCAACTTGTGGCTGTATTTGAAGTCCCAATCTCGACATTCCACGGTACCATGGAAAGAATCGAAAAAATACCGTGTAGCATGTGCACCATACTGTAGCTACTGTAGAAGCAGAGTTATCGACTTCTAGAAGTCCAAGCACCTGCATGGCTTTACCATTATTAAGCACGAAGTAAAAAAACATTGCTTCCATAAGTGGAAAAAGAAATTCACGCAGAACAAACTGGTTAGTAAGTTCCCATGTCGATGGGAATAGCGAAAAAAGTAGAATGGATTGTTCCATCTGCAGGACAGTCATCAAAAATGCAAGTAGACCCATTTTATGTAGCTTAATCTTGTGGCCGCTGCACATAAGCGCCAAGGGAAAAATCATTAAGGCGTATACATTAAAATTTGATAAAATGCTCATTTGAAGTATTCCCCTTAGCGTCTATGTGATTGAAAAACAGCAATATAGGTGTCGTATCGCGTGGCTTCTACTCTTGATGTTATTATTCTTTTGAATTAATAAATTGTAGTGGAATGAAAAAAAAGAAACAAATCAAAGGATATTATGACAACCGCACAGAACGACTACATAATCAATTTTTAAAAGTGAGCAGCAGAGAAGTGAAGGTAATATCATAGAACTTATCGTGCCCTTAATATAAAAAATGGGGAAAGCTATATATTCTCCTCGACTATACAAAAAATTACAATTGAGTGTCTGATCAGAGGCAAATACAACCGTCTGACTAGTGCAATGATATGAAAACCAGAAAACCTTAATACTCGCAATTCAAAAGAATATTCTAACACATTGAGGTGAAATGGGGTGAGAAGGTGCAATATAAAACGTAGAATGGGTTAACGTTTTGTTAAAATTTAACATTTTCACGTAGCCTAAATGAGTAAATAAACCAACACAAAAGGCAGTCAGCGAGGTCTCAGAAAGGAACGTGCTGGAATATTTCAAAGATGTATCAATGGATACAGAGAAAAAGTTCATAGTTGAGCGTAAGCTGACTTTTACCTTAAAAACAGAAAGCGTGCTCCAAGACTTGTATTTTTCTGTCCTATTCACTTGTTGCTCCAAGTTTATGAACATGCAGCGTCTGTGATTCATCGGATCAAAATCCGGTATTAAAATACAGATGTCTTTTACTTTCTGGTCGTACTGCCATTTCTTCAAGCGGGTGTACATACCGCGTAGGAAGGACATATCCTTATCAGAAAAAAAACTAATTTACCATTTACCCTGTAAATGGAATGTAAATTGACAATAACAGTCCCACTTTCGGCAAGAGGAATCTACAAACCCTGAAAAAAGTACATAGCCTCCCTTGTGTCTTTCATGTCCATTACGTTTTACGAATAATGAAGTAAAACAAAATTAGATGCCAACGCCTGCACGCTCTGTTGCACAGTGGTTAATGAATACCTAGAAGCAGACGCCATGCACAAAAATGCATTGCCCTCAGCATATAGCGCCACAGCCACACGTAACGTCTTCTCCTCTGCAGATAAATCTCTGCACTGCGAACCTATCGAATTTGATCGACAGACAGTGGTAGACATATATTTCATCATTTTTGCTTGCATTTCGTGACTTTTGCCGTTGCTACCACCGATGTCTTCCTTAAAGGTGTCGTTGCGAGAGCCTAAAGTTCGATGCGGATTCGCTTGAGTGTTTTCCATGACGTTACCCTGAGATTTCTTCTCTGATAGATTTTTTAGATTACTATGGGGAAACGATCGTAAGCCGGAGTACGCCGGTGGTGGTGGAAGTGGTGGTGGATAATATTGGCTAAAAGGGTTGAACGAGCCCATGTCTTCCTCAAAGGATAGTGCACGGTTTACTAGCCACTCCGAGGTAGCTTCTGAACAAGTGTCGATATCATCTTTTGCCAAGTTTGCTAAATTGGATAAGTCCTCTAACACGTGCTTCTTGGCATTTGATCCGACATCCCCTTCCCTATAAGGGGGCCCAGTGCTTGACCGAAGCTCATTTATGACGTTCTCGTTGTCATGCTTCAGCTCAAAACAGAATAAAAGAGCGGGCATAGAGTTCAGTATCAAAGGCTCCCATTGCAATATACACACACCGCTACCATCTGGTTTTGTGGACAACTGAGAAAGGTGCCAGTGTACTGTGTATTCAAGCATACGGTGATGTGCCCTGGGTTTGGTAGTCTTGAACAAATATGGAGAAGGAAGAGGAAGCATATTGCTTTCAAGGTCATTGCCAACGTTATCAAAGAGCCTCGAACTTGGTATTTGCGATACGTGAGTAAAAGAAGCGGCGTGCCTATGTCCAGAGGCGGCTGGCTCTTGCAAGGGAAACATGCGCACAAGCACTGGACCGACAGACGGAGCATCTCCTACGCGGACTAACACAAGTGGGTCACCCAGCTGAGGCTCTTCCACGTCGGAGCCCGGGCGTAGAATTAATGAAAATGGCTGCAATACATGTCGCACATTACAGTACGAGAGGGAAGTAGTTTGGCCGTTGTGGTTCCCTAGAGACATTGACTGCATTGTTGCGGCGCAGAAGCTGGCGAAATCTTCAAAACTATGGTGGCTGACTGAAGCAAAAAAATAAAAGCTAACACACTCGTTTCCTATAGGTATATAAAAGGCACCAAAATAAGCGCGAAGTCTCGCATCTGGCGCAATTTCGACGTTTTGCGACATAGCCTCCTCCCAATATGTCTTGTCATAGATGAGACCCAAACATGGGCTATCGGGGTTAAGCCTAACTTCTTGAAGACAACAAGAACCCAGCAGCAAGAGCGTGTTGCGCGCGACATCCTCCTCATCCTCGGGATTAGAAAAGTTCCCCTGCTTCAACAATAAAAGCCTGTAGGGCCTGATAACGATGCAGCCCGCTGAAATATTCTCCTCCTGCCCGTTCTTACTATTGGCCTCATCACGGAAGGTTACACGCACAGGCTCTTCTGTGTGAATGCCAAGCCGTAGGAAGCTCATTTGAAGTTGCCTTTCAAGGCTGATGTGCCACGACGTCGAAGACGTTGCATTAGACATTCCATCGAAAGCATTACTCTTCCGCATAGTGGCAAGCTCAGCAGTCCTGAGATAGCTAGAATGAAAAGCATACTGCTGTCGCGTGGACATCCCGTCAGAACTGTCGCTATTGCCCATAAAAGTAGAAATAGACGGCTCATAGCAAGCGATTATACCCATACAACGCATACCACGACCTACGGCAGTAGTGAATGGTGAAAAGAACGAAGAATAGTCATTATCACCAAAGTGTCGATGTTGATGAAAATGTGCATCCTTGTGAGAACCCAATGTAATACCGGCTCCGCTGCCATGCCATGGGACACTCCCCCGAGCCCCACAGGTATGAATATCCGCAGAAGCACAGTCGGTGTGATGTCTGTAATAGTAATACGCTTCCTCAATACCTTCTGGTAGCCCCTCATATACACGGAAATCAAGCGGAAGACGGAAGCCTAACCCGAGTCGGGGCTCGGAGACCAACAGATACGACGGAGACGGTCGTGGTTGACTAAAGCGAACGGCACGCACAAGTTCGTTAAAGGCAGTTGGCAGAATCCCACGCACCCTAGTGCTGGCGCTGTACTGAAGTGTCAGGGCAAGACGTTCATGGGTCAGAAATACAGAAAGCACATACACTATCTGGTTCTCTTCGTTTAAATAGCAATACTCTGCCTGTGGATACTGGTTGTTACCGATACGAGTTATGGAAGTGGACAAAATTTTTGAGCAATTAACGATTTTTAGAAGACTCATTTTGCGATAATTTTCTGCAGTTTCAGCACTAAATGTTTCTTCAATTGTAATGGTCACTCGATGACCCTCTTGTCGCAAGTAGCACAATGTCAAAAGTACCATGGGTGCTTGACGTCCCTCATGTTTGATAGTGAATAGTATGGGCGAAAAAGGAATGCTAATACCCAAGGCATCATCCTGCCATTCGACTAAGCTGTTATTATTACGCTTTACGTGTCGCTCCGCTTGAAGCATAAAGTAGCACTTGGAAAGAACATGCGATCTAGGTGAAGTAGCTCTTTGTGCTCTCACGGCCGCTAAGCCACCTTGAATACCTTCGGTTCCAGCGTGACCTGTCGCGTCGGCTGGTGTGTTGGCATTAACACCGACTTTATTTCCTTGAATACTGAAGCTGGGTGCCCGACGCCAGTTCACAATATATATTGCTGCTGTCAGTCCTAAGGTACCAATTGCTAAGGTAAGTGTTCCTATAAAGTTCCTTTGAAGTATAACCGACGAGTTTATTGAACTTGGCTCCCATTTAGTGTTTTCAACCATATAAAAATACTTGATAATATAAGTATTGCTGTCAAAATGGGTTTAGCTTAGGCTTGAGTATATTTTTTACACTTGTTTGCAACTAAAAAAAAAACATTAAATAAGAAAAAATAAAAAATGTTCGCAGCAAAACGCTGTTTAAATACATTTCAGATAAGGAGAGGGATTTCTGCACAGCTTAAGTGGAACGAATGCACAAAAACAGCCAAGTCTCACAATTATAGCTAAGAAGAGGAATCTACTAAACTTAGCGTTCTCTATCTAAACATCACTTTATACAAGCAATGAAGCAATTGATAAAAAAATAGTAATTTTTATACAAGAGTGGGAACAGTTCTATGGTTTGAAAAGATACTAATCTTCCTCTACCACAATGTCGTCTAATTTATTAATCTCGAAGAAAGGATCGTATTTTTTCAGTTGCTCTCGCGTCCACTTCAGCTGCGCATTACGCTGTGCTAGTAGTTTTTTGACCTGTTGATATTGCGTTGACTGGCTTAGCCTTTGCGTATGCTCTCTCTTAGATTCGGAGAGCTCATGCTGTAGTTTTCGGACGGTCTGCTTCAAGCTGTCGTCCGGATTATGGCAACATTGAGATTGTTCCATTCTCAAGCGATCTTTGTCGTTCATGACGTCTTGGATTGGGGAAAATTTTGCTGCATCATCCGAACGATTGCTCAATATCTGCGTATATGCATCCGTGACCTGTTGTAGTTTTCTTCGAAGTTGATATATCTGATTGTTAGAATCCTCAAGTTGTCGAGTCATCCTTCCATTTGTCTCGTCCACGGTCAAAGGTGCCAATCGCCCCGCTGGACCGTTCATCAACTCTCTTCCATGTGGTATCATGTCAACCATACCCCCTTCATTTAGAGCAGCGGTCGTATCAATATTAAGTACTAATCTCTTTTGATCCACCTCGCGCAATATTGCATAGATAAGCTCCGCCGATGATGCCAGACTACTCTTAATTTGAGTATCGATGAGGCCTTGGAAAATGCAGAGCTGACCCTGAAAAAGGGAAGCAACTTCATCTTTGGTATATGTCTTGTCAAAAATGAGGTTTGCAGAAAGAAAGGCGTTGCTCTCAACAACCAGATCGTCCTTAAACTTGTCCATAGAAATACTTAACCATTGAGTAAATTGTTCAACAATTCGTCTGGATTTAGCAGTAAGGTCAGAAAAATGCCTTTCGGTCATGACGAAGATAATTTTAAAAAGTCTAGACAATAAATAAAAACCTTGTTGCAAAAAGCAAACCGCTTCCACTTAACGCGTGCTAATTTTGATGCTTTTGGTTGGTGATGATGGTGATGTATTTATTTATGTGCGACAATAATATGCTTACGAGGTAAATTCTAACAGAAAGAAAATGCTAGATTTATGTAAATAATTTTAATCACCTATTTTTAAAATTTTTCTAAAGCGAACCTAAACGGGAAGATAGGTTTCATTGAATCCAATAATTTAATTAACAAAAAGCCAGTTGGAAAAGGGTCCCCCCTTATCATCATTTTCCACTGGTGACACACCAGATGAACATAAGACGCGAAAATATCCATATAAAGCGAAGAAACTAGTTAAAAAAAGAGATAAGAGTTTCCCTCTTCACACAAAAAATTAATCACTTTATATTTACTAGCATGGATATGATCCATTATTAATATTAGCACTATTATTAGTATTACTGTTGGTGTCTAATTCACAAACCTATTGATAAAGTATTTTTGTATCCTTTTAAAACTTTCCGTATTTCTACATCTACTTTTATTTTTGTAATAACTTAACCTAAAGGCAAAGGACTGTCTTTTTTCCAGCGGCATATATATAGTCTTACAGTAGTTAAGTAAGTATAAGAGATAGACGTAAATAGCAGACGCAAAATAAAACTAATACGTTTCAAGGTAAATGGAAAATAAATCGTAAATAGCTTGTATAAGGAAGTGGTACATATATCTTCGTTCATACGAACAGCAAAGCTATCCGCACTTTGAGATTTTCGTGAAATCACTAACATGTTGAAAAGAAAATCAAACGCGTTTAATATATTTTTGGGAGGTTTTCTCCAAATTCACTACGTATTCTTCAGCTCATTATCCAAGAATGAGCATAGCCATTCTCTAAAGACGGACCCAGATTCTTTAGATGTGACACGTATTTTTCCTGAGATAAATTCATCCGGTATTGTCTTCTGTTGAACAAGCTTTTTTGTTATTGCTCCATCCGAAATTGTTTTTTGAACATTCCCAGGATTTTTATTTCCCAATGAGCTTGCTTGATCCTGGTTTTGCTTAAGCTGCCCATTTTCCTTTAATGTTTGTTGCTGTGTGAATTTTGGGAAGGGAAGAGTAAATGGCTTTGTAATATCGGCTGTACCGGCACCAGCGGATGTGATATTGCAAGATGGAGAAGATAACGTAGGCAAACAACTGACTAACTCAGTAAGCTTAATGCCGCCGGTTGGGCTGGACGAAGTAAGGCTAACGGTATTGCTGGCAAGACTTGTAGGATCCTGTGGGGTTACCTTGATTGTCCCGGGGGACAAATTGGAAGCACGGATGGTCTCGGGTTTCGTGCTAGTTGCTACAGAAGCCGTTGTAATTGCACTACGAGGCTTTGGCAGAAGAAGCGAATCTGTGGGTGGATCCACTTTGCTTTCATTTATGTTGGCCTTGGAAACACCATTGTGCGGAGTCTGTGAAACGCTCTTTGTTGCGGAAAAGGAAGTACCCGAGTGCGAGCTGTCCTCACCAGCATTCTTCAGGACAAGAAGCGCTGAGAGTTTTGTGATACCACCACGGTAATCATGAAGACGTCCGTCAAAGCGGCTGCCAGCAGTGAAAGGAATGTCGTAAACTACCTCAGCATCGCGCCCACTGGCAAGTAGGCGCACAATTGTGCCTTGAGCACCAAACGGAACCATGCCGGAAATACGGCAATTCACCACACGTGCCCCTAAGCGGAAGGTTTGTTCCCGGGGCAATGGAATAGGAATCAAATAGCCATTAAGACTTCGTGTTAGGGGTAAATACAAATAATTCTTCGGTACATGTCGCAAGGTAAGGGTTTTTGTTTGTTGATTCTCATGATTGTCAAGGGTTGTCTCAAGTTCATTTAACATAAACGGGGGAAAGGCATCCTCTGTAGGAATGACCATGGGAACCTTTTGGATTCCGGAGTTGTCCAGAAAAGCTGTGATTTCTTCTAAAATCTCATCGGCATCGCATTCTTTCCATTTTCCCGTCATAAACTGCGGTGGATCAACATGATAGCCATTTATGCCTTTGTCTAGAAGGTCGACTAACGGGAAAAAGCGACTAATGTAATCGCTCAAGAGCGCCATAGCGATTTTGGAGAGATACCACGTACCGTAACCACTACCGGTATTTTTGCCAACATATTCGCCCTTTTCTACCTTTTCAAGGTGGTGACCCGCATTTTCGTCCTGCTCTATGCGGGAAAAAATGTCAATATTCGACACATGCCACGGCTTCGCATTGCGCTGGACTATCTTGGCGTACCCCACACGTGCCAAGGAACGACCCGAGAATTTGATGCACAAGCCAAGTTCGCGGGAGCCAAACTGTGGGATAGTCACAACAGTGCTGCAAATTGATGAGAGAGTACGGGAGTTGATACCGAGTTCGTCCGCCGCAGAGTTAAAAGAAACCCAATTTTGAGACGAAGCAAATTCGGAAAGAGTTAGAGGAAGCTTGACTGGATTCTGATGTATCTTTAATGACACTGTGGCTGTGCTGGAGTTAGACTCAGTGGAAAGAATCTGGCCACAGGTGCCAAAGACTGGTGAGATACCCTTGCCTTTCGGCTCAAGTCCAATGTAAACACAACTGGCCCCTTGTGCACTATCTTCATCGGTGCGCTCACGCTCCATATAACGCCCATCCTCAATCATCTCAATGTCACTAAGTAGACATATTAATGGCAGAGGGTAGCATATCTCGCTCGAGGAAAATTGCCGCGCCAAAGATCCCTTATTTGAGATACGCATACCGAAGAAACGATTTACATAGACCAATATTGGAATGTCCTCTATACCAATACCCAGCTTTAATTTCATGTATTTTCGATGTACCTCTGTTTCCTTGGAAAACAGTAACGATTCGTCACGATTCTTTCGCTTCTCGTTCACACTAAAGCTGTTGTCTCGGTTGTATACCGCCGTTAGAGTGACACGTGCATCGCTCAACGAAGCTATGCGTGCTCGCTTGTAGTGAGGAAACCCCACAAGTACCTCTTTTCCGATGAGCGTAGCGGCCTCCGCAGCTGTATTGAAGCTACTGAAGCATGTTAAATTCAAAATCAAGCTCTCTTCTTTCGAAGGTCTTCCAAAAATGTCGACCACACTAGATTCGTAAATGGGCGTGATAAACTTAGACTTTGACTGTAAAGACGGGAAGCCCTCCAACTCTTTGTCACCGATATACACACCTTTGCACAGAGCTGGTACAAAGCGTTTGCAAGGGGGAAACTCGAACACTTCTTTTTTCACATAGACACTACACAATGGGCCAAACATCTCATTTTTTAATTCATAGGGTATGATAGTGGTGTCAAAAGAGAAGCATAAAGAAGGGCCAAGCTTGTTATTAGAGGCGTCTTCCTTATCCACATGGATCTGAACAGACTCATAGGCCCTCAAGAGAATGCTCTCATCAATAAAAGGAATTAAAACAATACCTTCCCACTCAGCGCGTGTGCCTTCACGATCAATAATGATATGTTCTGGGTAAAAACTGGCCAGTGGACTCGAGCTGCTCTTCAATAGCGGCCAGTATGCTTTGGGAATACACCGGTAGGACATAGGTGGCAACACTGCAAGCAGCTGCTGGTGAGGCAGGAAAGGCTTCCCAAGTTCAAACGACACTTTGGACCCAATTGCTGACAAGTTGAAAAGATCACTAGCCATTGGTGCATAGTAGTGTGGATAATACCATCCCCACGAGGGCACGCCCTGGTAATAATAGGAAAAAACCCAGGACAAACCCTCAACATAGTGCTGTTTGAGGATTTCCATTCCCTTTTCATCGAAAATTTTGTGTTTCTTTTCATAAAATGAAACCTTATACTCATCAATGGATGTAAATACAGTATCACCAGTAGGCACCTCGTACGAAGGGTCTCTTCGACTACGGTTAGAATGATACTCGGCCTCTTCATTCTGTCGCTCCTTGATGGTTTCGAACTCTAACTTTCCGATCATAGAAAAAAGAATCCCAACAGCATGCCAATTAATGGAACCATTATCAATCAGGAAAAGTTTTTTTGCGAGAATGTGTTCAGCATAAAGGTCCAGTAACTTCGACACACCCTGGCTATGAATGGAAACGGTAGGGATCCCAGGCAAGAAATCATTGCCAACAAAAAAAAGCATGAAAACAAAATCATCAACTACTCTCTCAAAATCAAACGTGTATTTGGCAAAAGGACTCATTTTTATGTTGATGTCCATCTGTAAATAGTCACGAAGCACATTAATATGCAGCAGTACAAATTCATCTTCCTTATTGTAGGACTTATCCAAACAAATACCTTTAGCTGCATCTTGCTCCTCTCGTTCCCTTTCTCGACGAGATTTCCCGCCAAATTCTACTACTTCACGCAGCAACACGAAATGTGGTTCGTGAGTCAACAAAGCAAGCATAACCAAATCAGCATCTAGTCCGTAGATGTAATGGGTCTCGTTTGGGTTATACCCCGGCTGCATCTTTTTTCTTCGGATAAAATCTAGAATTTTGTGCTCACCTTCCCCAGGTGCTTCATGGCCACTAAAGATCACCTTACAGGTTTGCCACGCAGGATCAGTCGAAAGTTTTGTTGTGATAAAAAAACGAAGCGCCTCGCTAGCACGCACCATAAAAGGGGTACCAGGGGTAATGCAGTTGGTATCGAAGATGTCCTTCTCGTTAGGAACATCTTGACCTTCGTCAATTGCCTCTTGACGCGCAAGAGCGGACTCATAGGCAGAACGATAACGACGCTGGCGCTGCTGATTCATCTTGGCGCGCGGTGCCACACCATCCACAGACAGAAAAAAATACTTACGTGGCTGAACAGCGATAAACAACCTCTCTAAATAAACAAACATAAGTTGCATCATCTTCTTCTCGCTGGGAGCTTTGAGCATGGGGTCTATATCATTAGAATGCGTGCAGTTGTGTATTATTCCGTTGAAATCTATATAAAAATTATCAACCGATGATGGGCATTCCTTAAATGTTGTGATGATACAAGGATACCGTTCTGCACACCACCGAAAAAACTTTGGAACTCCCATTTTTAGGGGAATAATCAACCTTTTATTTATTTATGGCAAAAGTATAGCCGTATCTGACAATTTGTTAAACAGAAATCAAAATCTAAAGGTTGGAAAGGAAAAAAGTCCACAGTGGTGCCTGCACGGTCCTTTCACAAACACAAAAACTGTAATTTATGGAATATACCTCGAGATTCCTTTGAAAATTATCAACAAATTACACTACCCGACGAATAAAGAAAGGAAAAAACTCTTGCGAATATTCCTTTTAAAGAAAAATGTGAAGATAATGAAAATGCAGGATAAGAAAAATATGACTCTGAACACAGGAAATTATGAATAATTTCTGATATAAAGATGCAACAGAGCTTTTTCAGATAAACTTTCCTAATCTAAATGGTATGAACAAGCTATGTGGTTGAAAAGCAAACAAGAAGTTACTTTTGCCTAATGACTACACTTATATTGGCTGAAGCCTTTAGTGAATCACTATTATGAATGAATACTTTGAAAAAGCTTTACAAATATTATTATTATATTATTAAAAAATTTAGGAGAAAATAAAAAGAGAAAAAAGTCAATATTTTTCATTCTAAAATGATCGGAATACATTTTGGCTATATCGACATCGATATCGATATATTCATTAAGAAAAGTACCTGTTTTCATTTGGTTGTGTTTAGATCTAGTACATAAAGTGTGCCTCAAATTTGAAAAAGGTTGGCCTTTTTCGAGGATATTATTTGGCTCCAGCTTTCCCTGTATGTGAAATTAGAAATATACATTCAAGCGATAGCAAAGGTACTACTACTATTATTACTAAATATAAATATATTAATATATGCATATATTTATACGCTTGCCAATAACTTGTGTGCACCCTTTTCATCCGTATTGACATCAATAAGTGAACTACATGGATAGATAAAATAGAAAGAGAAGTGGCAGCTGGCCTCTTGTCATTCCAGTGCACATCCGCTGGTACTTTTTAGGCCACAGTTGACTGAGAGATTGCTGTAGTTTCGGTATTTCCGGTAGGAATACCCTGTAATGATTCTTTCTGCGTAATTGTGCAAGGAAAGCGAGACTCGCGTGCGTTTCGTTTTCCTACCACGAGCTGATTTGGCTTGACCGATCCGATGGAAGTCAACTGTTTCTTTACCAGACGATTACGATGATTCACCAGCTCACCTTGCTTAGCCAAATCCATGGTGTAGTCTCCCACCTGATAGACCTCTGTACAGTGGCAATGACGACTTTCAGGAGGACCTGGACGCAAGTAAGATCGTGGACGGTAATCATTGCTGTTATGCATGAAATTACTTTTCAGTGGCCGAACACCCTCAGGTGGATCCTCCGGACGAAGCAAAAACGAGTTATACCCAAGTGGAGTGAAGTCAAATCCTGCCTGCGAATAGATTGGCGGCGGACATTCGCAATATAACTCCTCAGGCGCAAAGGTACGACGCGATGGCTTTTTCTTTAGGTGGCCCCGGTTGTCCGCAAGGGACTTAAGTTGGGGCTGACGCTTCAGGCGATTTACCGTAGCACGGTTCAGAGTTTCAGCGGTGAATATACCGTTAGGGTCATAGATTTTGACATTGCGAAGCGAATACGGCTCGCTTGGCTTAGTGCGTTCAAACACCTCTTCACTACCATCTGAGAAGTGAAGACGCGCTTTGAGTACACCCCATCGCTTACTATTGTTGATGTCTTGGATGCTGTACACGGCATCTTTGTAAGTAGCGCCCCTTGGAAGACTGTATGTCTTCCAGAAAGACAAAGGATGAGATTCCAAACCATTCAGTTGAAGATGGTCAGGGTCATATCCCTTAGTGCGGATCTCAGATCTGGGAGGGATGTAAAGGATAGCGTAACTGGTGGGAACGGCACCACCATTTGGTTCTGTGTATGATGCATCCATGACCTTGATTGAAATACACAATTTAGCAAGTAAAAAATTGCTATAAGAATCAAAATGTCACAACTGGTATATTCAGTGCCTATGACGCAAAACAGAAGATGGGAAAAGTAAATTACACATTACATAAAGTTAACGATTTTGAAATTAAATTCAATCCATAACGGAAATTGGGTTCATCAATGGGAAAAGGTCCTCATTATCATAAAGGCTAATTTATTGAAGATATAAAAGTATCTTTAAAGATTGATATCAAAAAATACCCTCTATATCAAAGATATCGAAATCAGTGTGAGTAGAACCAATGGGAAAGACGCTATGAGTTGAGCTTGGATTCTCAGGTTTGTGAAAGTTATTGTCAACCCTCTCTAAGGTATCAGGTTTATTGCAAGCCTCATGTGAAGTAGAAAGAAACGAAGAGAATGGTTGGTAGTCTGTTCCTGCATCACTCGTTCTAACAGTGTGGTTCATATTACCGGCCCCATTTCGAGACCTATCGGTCTGGATGCGCTTCCGAGCTACAGTGGCTCTTTTCTTGTTGACAGAGTTGTGTGCAGCGGTGTCAAATGTGTTAAAAGCTTTCACAACCGTTGCTACACCACCAACTGCCATCACTTCAAAATTTTGCAATGATGAGGAATGTTGAACAGAACCACGACCATCAGCTAAATTGCGGGCTATTGACCGACGATCAGGAATGATGTCACTTGTGGAAAGATCTAGCACTCGAGAGGACAACCCATCCATCTCTGATGCACCAAGAAAAGACATATCAAGTTCTGCTGGGGGACAACTTGTCGCTTCAACATATTGTTTGGAAAATTGTCTAGGTGCCAAATAGGGTGTAGGCGCAGTAGTAGTAGAAGTATCCTCACTGTGGTACGCTTGGAAACATGGATATGGCTGTAGCTCCAGCTTATTCCAGCTAAGCTCACCGGTGTGATCAGGACTGGCCCAAGTATCACCCAGCTCATCCCTCGTTCGTTTGTGGGAAGTTACGTGTCCTGCCATTGTCGAGATTTCAAAGTGTGGGTCGTGATTGTAAAGTGTCTCTGAGCGATCTGCTGTTGAATTGCCCGGATTTCGACGGCTGATCCAACCGTGTGTGTCCACAAATCTTTCGGTGTCGGATGTTATTGTTGATGATACTCGCTCATAACCAACATCTGCTTTCTCTTCTAAAGAGTTGAGACTTGAAAAAACTGGAATAGTCTCAGTTTTCCGTACGTTAGAGCTGCTCCGACCACTAGGCACGTCTACGCTTATCGCACCCTTGTCTTTTTCCGTCAATGACATAAATAAACCCGACGAAAAATCCTGGCAAATGATTTGTGAAAGAGGCTCGGCCAATACCACACAGCGTACTAGTATATCATAGTCAATACATCGAACTAGATTTTTATTATTCAATGCGATCATGTACTCCTCAAGTGCATCCTTTTCCACCTTTTTAATCACTATGATATGCCCTTTATGATGCGCTGTGAAAAAAAACAAGTCGTCTTGTGCAATTGAACCGTTGGACTGTTTTTTCAATGTATCGTCTAGCACAACAGAACCTTTCGCACATTCTACAAAAAACGCTATCTCGTTCAGCAATGTCTGCCGCAACACCACAAAAGTAAATCCAGCAAACAGATCTTTCCTCTGGGAATTAGGTTTTAGAAAATCGGGAGAAATTGGTATTGACGAATTATTTTTCTTCCCAAGTTCGAGAAAGTCCGCTGAAGGAACGAAATGCCTCCAAGCAGGACTAGTAGGCGGCAAGTAGGAGCACAAATTAGGAAGAGGCACCTGTGGTGTCACACGGTTGAGTGTATCAGTAAAAAAAGATGGCAACACGACAGGCACCATACGGCACAACATCGCCAATACGCATGGAGTTGGCTCAGAAAAACTTGATACTAAAAGGTCAGCCCTTGCTAGCGCATCCGTACAATAGCCGTGTGAGTTCGACGAAGCCAGAAGCTTCATACCACAATGATTCAGTTCGCCTTCCAAGTTGGTGTGCTGATACTCTTTGATGTTTTCTATCAGCACATGGAGATCTTCCCAGGCGAATACTAGTGTTGCACCATGGTTTCCAAGAACTAAAGCAAACCTGCGCCAATTGACTCTGTCTAATGGAACATGAAAAGGAACTCCTTTAACAATTCGATGTTGCTCTCGTCCCACATTTGCTGCATTGTTAAGCAATACCATCGTCGGCTTTGGTTTAACAACTGACGATGACACTTTATTGCATGCCTCAGTAGCGACATGGGTCTGCGGCGGTAAACTTGCTATTCCAAGCGCCGAATATTGAAACACAGAGGCTGTGGCTAAAGATTTCTCTAGCCCAGAAGCATTCGTTTCGCAGCCTAGAGCAATTGCGGTACTGCCATAGGTAGAGGAATCTATGAGGGTAATCGCGGCTGGAGCATCACACGCGGTATTCTGTGCATCAAGACTAGTGAAATGACTGCCACAATCAGTTTTATTGTTCTGAGGGCTGACGGCATTGATTTGTGAAGAAGAGTTGCCCTTTGCGATATGCTGTAGCGGGGAGAGACCAATTTCAAAGGAAAGATGAGTTCGACTAATGCTGGGGTCATCTTTAATTGTTATATCACACTCCTTTTTCCCTATTCGATAGACTTTACCACCACTAAGCCAAAAATGAGGAGTTGCATTAAAATATATGATCCACATATTATGAGGTACAATCCTTCACTTTTACAAATCAACTCGAGCCCCTTTGTCTGGTATAGAAAAATGAAGGAGTAAAAAGATATATTTTTTTTGAATGCAATTCGGATTAATAACGCTTTTATTTTTCATCCAATAAATGCTAATATTTTTTCTTTTGCCAGGCATCTATCAGTGTATTGAGATAGCTGACCAACGGATAACAACTATAAAATATGCAAAAGGAAACAACCGGTAAATGTGAAAAAGGGGGCACTTAACACATACCAAAAAAACAGAAATAGACAAGTTAAAATGACGGAAAAAAAGGAACTCAGAAGTCCTCATTTTCCTAAGCCTGTAAATTGTACATAATACAACAGAAGGTCTATAAATTCATTTATGCGTCTAGCTGAAGAATGAGACAAAACATGCTCTTGTATGATTTATTTATTAGAGGAATATAAAACCCAAATCAAACATGTATCCTTTCACATGGAGTTCAGGTTTTTGAAGTTTTACAAACATGCTTACTGGCTCCTATTGATGCCAAATAGTCAGCCATCTCGTTACCATGGATATTCGAATGCCCACGGACGTGACAAATCTCAAAACCTTCGCCAGAGTTGGAGATATTGCTAGAGCAGTAGTATCGGGGCTGCGCATCATGCTGATACGAAAAACAAGTGTTATATCCATCTCTCAATTGGATGAGTTCTTTCCACAAATCCTGGTTTTGTACTGGAGTTTTGCCATCGCTTAATGTAAAACCGTTCCTCATCCATTTTTTGCTGTACTTTGTCAACCCTTCTACGACGTACTTGCTGTCAGAATACACACGAAGACGGTATAGGGGAGTTGGTGTAGAGTAATCCACCCTGTTGGCCATAAGGTTCACAACCGAGCCACCTGCATCGTGCACACCCTGGCGCAAAGCATAAATTACTGCTCGAAGCTCGGCTCGATTGTTAGTCTGCTTTTCATTCGACAGAAGTGGTAATGCAAAGTTACGGCAATCCCCTTCGCCGTAGTAGCCACCATAACCCGCTTTTGAAAATCCCTGCTGACCATTTCCATGGCAAGCTCCGTCCACATAGACATCTTCTGTTGTTATCAAAGAATCACGAGGTGCCACAGGTGGTGACTCCGCACTTTGTGTGGCAATATGGCAACTGTTTCTACAAGTAGAATCATATAAACGCGGACATTTGGCGATTGATTGAATTTCAGAGCAATTATCATCGACATTAGAATCAGAAGGAAGGGAATAAAATTTTCGCAAACAAATGCGCTTGCCTTCAGACTTGGCATCGCGTATAAAGCGTTCATTACACGGGCTCTCTTTGATGGTATAGTCTTCTTTCTTTTGAGATAAGTCGTGGGATACACCTTCATGGCTCTCTGAAAGGAACATTTTAGCTTCTTCTAACGTTTTAAACCCTTTAAAAAGGGCTCCGCTATACCCATGAACTTGCTTATAGCAGTCAGACCAAGTTGTGTAAATACCGCGTTCATATCCCTTCGACACGGCGTAAAACTTCTTCATTGTGTCCTCTTTCAGGATTTTTTTCGCTTAAGATAAAACTGATGTTTTAGGTGAAAAACATGCTTTGAGGTTACAATATTGTAAAAGGTTTCCTGTTATCTACCTGTCGTTGTCATAAATTCACTTCCAGAATGTTGAAGAGTTCAAAAAGACTGATCTTTTGACAAGCACCACCTAGGCAGGGATGTAAAAGCAAAATACGAATGGGTACCTGTAGACAACGTACACGCGGCGCTGAATGTATTGGCACTAAATGATCGCACAAACCACAAAAACGATACAAAGTTAGTAAGAACAGTTAGATGGTTTGATGAGAGTAAGGATGAAAAATATAGTGCCTATTATTGAAGTGCGGCAGAGTTTATATCACCTTTTTGAGTTTTAGAATAATTACCATTATATATATATCGTTCCGGAACACGGAGAGAGGAAGATGAAAACAGAGTGTAAAGGAGAGAGGAAAGGGTTAAATATTTAGGACAAACAGAACAATCCAAGAGACAATACCAACAACGGTCTAAGTGTACTCAATTCACTCAATTGTGTTCTTATTTACAATAAGCAAAAAAAAAAACCTTAGCCACTTGACACTGAAAGCAAATACTTCCCCCCAAAATGTTGGAATAAAGCTAGAGTGTCACTTGAAGGTCACAGAGATAATGCCTGTTTTTAAATCAACTTGAATTAGTCAAATCCGTCAAAAAAATATTGTCAAGTAAGAAGAATCAGAAAGTTATTCGTTGTGAAAGATACTTTTTTGCCTGCAGTCGTACATGCATACGTTTCGCCTGCGCTAACCCTACCTGCATCTAGGCTAATTTTTTTTATGATTAGATATATTAGTCTGTAAATTAACTGTGCATTCAATGCTGTACTGATTATAGTATATATCTATATAGATATTTATAGGTGTGTACGATAAAGGAAGCATAATTACATAATTCAAGCTCTCAAATGGTAGCATTTTTCAAGTCAAAAAAAGATATTAAAGGTTTTTGCTCTCATCCATAAATTCACCTCCTCTTACTCAACGGAAACAATAATGATAATAGTAAAAGATCCAAAAGGATATTGGTATTTCATGGAGAGTAGTTTTTTAAAGCGCTATGAAAAGACATTTTTCCACATTTTGTTGACTTACAACCTCTAAAGGGTGGACGTAAGAAAAGTAAATCAATATAATTTTATTATTATTCAAAATAGATTTTGTATTTTCAGTCTACAATACCTCAACAGTGTTACTCCGTTTTGAGTTGTCATCATAGAATCACTGAAATCTGCAGCTTTGCTGTATCACTTCAGTTTGACTAATTGTATTCGTAAAGAAGCTTCAAAGACAGCACAACGATTGTATTCAGCGAAACGGTCAATATGATCGATCTCGAAATAAAATATCCGCTGGCATGCAAAAAAAAAAGCATGAACCCCTATAACGTGCGTACACCTCATTATGAAACTAGTGAAAGCGCAATGTCATGGTGATACCTAGACAACACTTTACGGCTGTAGGTAAGATGAACTGCTGCGCATTGAAAAGGAGGATATTAGAATGAAGCGATATCTTTTCGAACGTGGTTCGTAGAGTCGATGGCAATTGTACATTCCATGGAGAAGACAAGAATAAAAATAAATCTAGATAAGGTACCGTATTTTAAAACAAAGTCATCTCTTGGGATATGTATGAGGGAACTCAACGTAGGCTCGATTAATATGTTATACTTTTATTGCACACGCCTTTTCCATTACTCGATTTGAAAAAAGCATGTTTACAAATGAATCGAAAAATGGAGGGACAGTGCGTAACTGGAGTTTGTTAATCTCATTTTTTGTTGATTGGATCACTCACTGTGCATTAGCATTTGATAAAGCCTAGAGGAAAAGCATTTGAGGAGCAATGCGTTGAAAGAAATAGCTAGGTTAGTGAATCCAACTCAAGACTAAAACGACGGGTAAGATCCTGAAGAAAAAATCACTGTCCCACCTCCCATCTCCCTCATTAATTTGACTGCCTGTAAATTAGTTTGGTATAAATGACAAGCTGTGGGATTGAGCTTACAGTATTGGACAAGGTTAATGTCACAGAGCTCCCGAGCGTTGTTGAGGACAAGATTATCTACAAACTGCTCCCTATGTTTTTTTCATTTTCCAACAAGAGGATATTGCTTGTATTCGACGATTCTTACACTTTCAGAAACGTCGTTCATTATCTACAAGCAATACCTAGAATAGAAAATCGGAAAGGTGTCAATCTCTGACATAACTCCCATTATTCTGGAAATAATATACAGGCTAAGAGATTGCATTCTGTGATAAATACCCCAACTATGTGAAGTGAAAAGTCATGTTGCGGGGACTACCAACCAATAGTAAGTCAATCTGATCTATTTCAGTTGCGATAATACTAGGCCGTAGCTTTCGGTGATCTATATCATTTGAAAAATCAACAATGATGGCTAGTCGAGTTCCCTATAACTTGGCTTTTCTATTCTAATTTTGATGTTGCCCTCATAGAACACTTCAATGTTGACTACTGTAGGTCAATCACACCATCATATACAACTCTTAAGCGCATTCTGTGGATTTCATCAGACATCCAATTACACATCAAAAACCTTTGAAGTTAATTTCTGTGCTTTACTAGTGAGTAAAATCATAGGTGCCTAAACTCGTTCCTTTATCTTCACCTTCTCTGGAATTTTATCGTAAAAAAAAACTCAGCGCGTTAATCTCACACATTGTATGTGTGTGTCTATAACTCACGAGATTATAAATAGCTACAAGCATAGACCAATCCTCTATGGGAAGCTAATTATTTTTACGAAAGGTGTGTGTATTTGTGTCAGTGTACTTTTTTCAGTATTATGTGAATAAAAATTGATAAATGTATCAGAGGGGCTGAATCATATTCAAAAAGTAGGTTAAAGACCTCCTTTGTTTCTTATGTAATAAATGCCATGCAACCATTATATGCTGATTGAAATAGCAAAGTCCAGTCGCTCTTATGCATCCATATATGACAAAACTAGCCACACATATTTTTTGAAACCTGTTTCGAATACCTTCACAGGAATTCAACGAAACATTAAATTTGCTGGTAAAAGTTAACCCTTCTTTTCTTCAGAGTACATGTTCCGGCCTGCTACCTTGCCAAAATTGCCAACTTTTCCTCCTGCTCGACTGCTTTCTTGGGCTTCTCTCTCCTTCGACTTCAACATTTCATCGACCTTCTTCTGGTTCAACTCTGAATCTGTAGGAACCCAGAAGAACGGCTCCTTCTCGGCCTTAACTTTCCGGAAGTTAGGCTCCCAACTAAAGCTGTGAAGTTTGACATGGTAATCAATTCGCTCACGCTCCCAGTTGTCCCATTTGAGGAATACCTTCTGCTGGTCGTCGTGATCCATTATGCCCACGGTAGTTAAATTGTGCATCTGTGTCATGACGTCCATGTCGTTAAGGGTCTTACCAGGCCCTTCCAAATCAAGTTGTGAGCAAAGGAAAGCAATTTCTTCACAAATATTCTCAATGCTTCCCCAGTGGTAATGGCCGCCGTTTGAGCGCAGGCGCAGGACTAGAGGCTGTGCTACTGGGTCCACCCCTTTAAGCTTGCGCTGATGCCGTAGTTTGGCGACATACTTTAACGCGTTCCACACAGGGACTCTATCATCATCCAAACAAGCGGATATCATCATCCCTGGATACGTAACGCGGCTATTGAGGTTGTAATAAGGATCATAATTCTGCAGTAAAGCCAAGTCAACTTTGTTGTTTAGTGGATCCCCCCAATCATCACGCTCAGCAAGGGAAAGCGGTAGGTCGGGGTCGATCATGGTATTGATGATGTCAAGAAAGGGTGAGCGCATGAGAACATTGCCGAACAACCCACATCCACGCATATTCATAGCAGCTGCAATGGGCACACACCCTGCACTATTTCCAGCAGCAACCATAAGCTCAGGCTTGGTGTAACCCATTTTTACCATATGTTCGCAACATGCAATAAAATCTTGTGTTGTTTTGATCTTATTTGGGCCCTTCCCACCCTCAGACCAGCCGTGCAATTCACCACCACCCCGGACATGTGCAAATGCCACAGTCCAACGGCGACGAATCATCCACATGTAGGGTGCCAATTGAAAGTGCATCGAGGGAACCTCCCCGTATGAGCCATATACATAAATCAAACAATGCTTAGGGGAGTTTGGCTGTGGCTCGAAGTCAGTCATCTCTTGTACAAATGCGTCTTTGCGCTGACATATCGTGATGGGAATTTCAGTTCCATCTTCAGAAACACAGAGGTCACGGTACATGCTATAGGGCCACATGTAATCCCAAGGAGTAAATTGCTCCGACTGACGCTGCGTAAACAAGGCATCAGCCGAACACAGCTTGGCCTTTTCAGCTGTCATTTCAGAATTGAAGTTAAAGACGCAATCACGACTCGGCTGAATGATGCTGCTATACACAAAAGCCATTGAACTTTGCACAAAATTTCTATTCAGGCCGGGTGTCACAGATGTGAGTGGTGGAAAGTGCAAGATCAAATCATCTTCTCTAGAGGCTCGCGCCGCTGCCTCAATACCACAATCCAGTTTAATGATCCTTATATGGTTTATTCGCTCAAAAGAGTAATGGCTTTCATATAGCACAAGCTGACCATCGAAGATGTCGATATCAGAGATCTGGAGATCGGATCGATGTGGAATAAGCTCTTTCCACTCTGCATTTACGCCGTATTTTAAAGCAATCTCATTACGTGTGTACACAACCCTGAAGTTTGAACCTTTATCAGATGTTACCATCACAAAGTAGCCATGGTAGTGTTCAAGCCAATTCCACCCTTTCTTTCCAGCAACTTCTACCGGTTTCCCATCGGGGAAAAAACGATTCAACTCAGTCGGAATCGTCGGATAGGATGCTGGTAAAATTAACACGCTCCCATTTACTTTAGAGTCGGAAGTTATTGTAATAAACTTGCCATCTTTTGTTTTTCTAACATCGACAAAAAACTGTTCGTCATCATCGCAATAAAGCTCTCTTGGAGGTTCCAGAATACCTGGGCGAATTTCCTGCATTATTACACGATGTGGTCGGTTTAGTTGATTCGAATCGGTAAAGAAAAAATTATTTCCCGAGCCAAACTCAATCCCCACAATGTTGTTCCCACGAATAACGTGAAAAAGGCTTGCATTATCAATGCTCCTTATATGACAGATGTATCGGTCCCCACCTTCTATAGATAATGTGTAGGCCAAGTAGCGACCATCCTCAGAGACACGACAAATACCAATTGAACAGTCATTGTAGCCAAAGTGCTGCTGCAGCAGTACTGGATTTATAAGTTCCTCTGCGAGTAAGTCAGCCTCTCCAACCTTTTTTCGGTAAAACCCAATGGCATTAGGGTCATGACCTGGAACAACGCGAGTGAAGTAAATGTAGTCACCAATCCTTTCTTCACCCTTGTCATATCCCCCTTCACGTGTTGTGACTACTACTTTAGCATCCAACTCAGCCCATAGACGCCCTTTGGTATGTTTGAGATCAAATTTTGCGCTAAGAAGTGAAAAATGAAGCATTTCCTTTTTCACATATTGTAAGGTGTCATGATCAAACAAATCTTCCATGTATCGAAACGAATCACGTTTTTGTTTTTCATCATGCAATATAAATGACTCTGGAACTTCCTTTGGCAGAGGACCATCGAGCACTGGAAGAGGGTATGTATTGCGTAGTTGTGGGTAAAAATAATTCACTACTTTTCTTGTGGTATTGTAAAGAAAGCTTGATTTCGGAATCCAAGGTTGTAGTGCTGTCATCTAACCCTGATAATGAGGCTAACTAAAGGAATACGCTTACTACTGAAAAAAAATCAGATCCATACATGACCAAAGGCACACAAGAATAGATTAGAAGTGTGAAGGAAAGTTAAAATTAAAAAAAAAGGAAATAAAAGTAGAATTTCTAAGGATACTTTTTAAGTAAAATTGTTATAGATTAAATTCAAGTTTTATATTATCAAACAAACGAAAGAGGGGTTATATATATATATATATATATTGAAAAAGCATCTATCTGTATTTTCGGTAAGGTTAAGGAAAATTAAAAAAAATGAAAACACTACTTCCTATTTGGAGAAAATACTAAGAAGGAAAAAACGTTTGTAAAGGGTATACCTCTATTTACTTTTCGCTTGGATATCAATTTTTTGCTGTGAACCTTGTGAAAGACCCACGATAGAATGAGTTCCATCTTTCGAAAAAGTTGGCAGCCAATTGTCTTTAAACCAAGTGATAGCATCCTCCCAACCCTCAGAATAAGAAATTATCGGTTGGTACTCAAGATCCTTCTCGGCTGCATCAATACGAAACCATCGGTTCATGGTTAGTACAAAAACGTTAAATACATTATGCTTGAATGTCGTGTGCATTAAACGACCTAATACCTCTGCGATTAGTGCAGAAAGATAAAGAGCCCAGAATGGGTAATGAATTTTTTTCTGAATTGAAGGAAAATTCATCTTGACAATGGCCTTGTCAATTTCCTTCCAAAAAATACAATATGCCCCTGGCTCAGGATGCGTGCTTCCATCTGTTACGATGTAAAACTTCCCAAGAATGGGAGATCCTTTGTATAGCTTACGTTCTGCAATAACCAGCCCGTGGCAGTAATTGTCTACATGTGTAAAGCAGACACGATTGTCTCCCTTCGCGAAAATACGAAGCATTCCCGTACCAGCTGCCTCCAATACATTTGGTAAAAATAAATTGTCACGCGGCCCGTATACTTGATGAGGCGCAACAGCAACCGCCCAGAAGTCATCACCGCATGCAGCCGTCACAGCCATTTCCCCTTCTGCTTTGGTTTCCGCGTATAATTGCATGTAGTGATCAAGCGGAAGACGCGGCATTTCATCTTCACTGAGACCATCAATATTTGGCCGATCAAAAAGTGAGCCTTTAAAACGAGTAGAAGGGGAAGAGCTGAAGACAAGCTTTTTAACACCATGTTCTTTACATGCTCGAATAACATTGACAGTACCTATATAGTTGACTTTTCTGTAGAGTTCGTGTGGGTGAAATGGACCAACAGCAGCCGCAAGGTGCCAAACACAATCAGCACCTTTAATCGCTAAAGAAACTTCCTCGTAGCAAGTGATATCAGCGACAATATAACTAATTGAAGGGTGATCCCATATTCCGATTCCCTTTTCTTTGGGAACTATGTCAAAGCTGATTACGTGTTCGGCTCCACGTTCTATTAGCATTTCTACCAGCCGTGTTCCGACAAAACCAGTGCCGCCAGTGACAACGCAGCGCTTAGGAACGGGTGTGTAAGAAGCGAGAGCTGCTATTCGCTGCGCATGAGAAAGAGCAGGATTGAGATGAATTTTACTCATTTGTGAGGTTACTACTATTGATTCGGATATAATTGTTTCATTACAATAGTAAAAAAAATATGGAGATGCTGACAAAAGATTAATATTTTCGAACATTGTATAAAAAACATAATGCTACTAATAAGAATTGTATAAATTAGAAAATATATTATACTTCATCCCATGTTTTTTTCACTTTAGCATTGAATCTGAGATTAATAACAATAATATTAAATGATAACAGAAATAGTAAAGATTTACTTTCCATGCCATAGAATTGATAATCTCTCTAATGCGTTATAACTAGGTGTCGTATCTTCCCATAAATCAGTAAGTGAGGTTCCTATTGGTAAAAATGATGGACCTTCACTTGAGATTTGCGGATCAAGGCTCCGTTTACGATCAAAAAGTGACGCATAAAGGGCCCTTTTATTATCATGGGCTCTATTAGTTAATACTGGAAAAGATGTAAAAATGCAGTCACGACATAACATTGTTAAACGGTCGCAATCACGACATGAGGGGCTTGACCCAAATTTCTTGGCTTCACTTGGTACATCAACAAACAGTTTTTTTTTTAGTTTTTTGCATTTTTCATTAACCAATGATTTAGTTAGACAATATCTTCTTGGTTGATTTTTTTTTGCGAGAGCTTTCACTCTATCAGTGTTCTTTAAAGACAATTTTTTTTGTGTAAAAGAAAGTTGCCCATAATACGTGGGTCCACAAGTGGAGTATTGTCTGCGTTTGTAGAAGGTGAGCGACCATTGAGAGACAGACAAATCATACTTGAATCCACAAGACTAGTGAATAGTAATTTATACGCAGTACTTTTTCCATCTATCAAGACTGTTTTTGCGGACCATGTTGAATTTACTAAAAAACTAGAAAGCTCCCTCCCACCAGAAATGTTTAAAACCTCAGAAATAATAATGTATTTCCATATCCCTACACAAAATGAAATCCAAGGAAATGTAATTTTTTTAGATACACAAACTTGAAGTTGAGGTAAAGTGCTATTCATACTGTGATCTTGATTCACAGATATGGTACAATTAGGTAGAACATCAGAGATGAGTGATCTAATTTTTTCCGAAAGAATTTTTCCGTTTTCATAATGCCCCCAATGCTCTAGGGAAACTGTATTTTTTGATAAAAATATCTGCGAAAATGCATCCTCTGATTTCATATGTAAGAGCATTTCGGAACCCATGGGAAGTGTAACTGAAAGCGGTACTGGTGATAGGTCATTACCTCTGTAGCTGAGCTGTTGATATGTGCAGCGACGATCCTTGGACTTTGAAAACAATGCCGTTAGAAAATTCAAAACATAAGCCTTTTTTTCGATTGGTAATAAGCAGCACAATCCAGAAAAAAAATGTATAACCTCCCAGAGAGGAATGCAAGATGCGGTTGCAAGCGCTGATCCTTGCTCGCAACTAAGCGGAAGATCCTTCCATAGCTTTTCTATAAACCACCAGAATTGGAAAGGTTCAGCACCGATCAGTACAGATGATGTTACACCACTATTTAATATACCCACTAGTTTACCAAACTGATTATCAATTATTTCTTGAGGATTTGACATCTTTATACTAAAAAAAAAGTGAAAAGTAACAGTATTATTTCATAGAAAGAAATTTTGGGGAGTTATAAGCTAATGGAACCCATTCGGAGTTAGTGGGTTGAACATATCAAAACCTATAGTTTACTTCATTCAGGGCCACATAGAAGCGAAGGGAGGGGGGAGTAGGAGGAAAAGACAGGTCTTTAGCCACCAGAAACTAAGTAAGAGCGGTAATGGTAAGAAATTCATATACCATATATACTAAACATTTTTTTTATTTTTTATATAAAACAGTGAAACGAAGGCCGCCCATAAATATATGAAGGTCAATATATAATAAAGTTGGCTGTGTAGGGTAAAATGTCCAAGGAATTTTATGTATCCCGGCAACCATTAATCAAAAAAAAAAAGGACATATTAATTCATGCATACCGATGTCAAATATTAGTCTCGCTACTCATGTTTTGCGAATCTTATTAATTGGCCGTTGTTGATGAAACTTTGGGCGTCACTGAAAATCAAATGGGTACCTAATTCGGATAACAAGGAATAGTAAAAATGCTGAACGTAAAACTCAAGTCGACACAAATTAAGATCCACTCTAAAATACTAATTTACAATAAAATAATTTTTACATGTTTGTGTGGGGGGGAAAGGGGGGAGCTTCTTTTAGGATTCAATTTTCATGTGGGGCGCTATGCATTATTATTCGTGCAAAAAAAAAAATTAGCTCTGATTATTTAAATAAATTTGTTGGACGATATGTATTTTTGGTATTTTGGCACTTTTTACTGAATACTTTTTTCACAGTAATTTTGGTATGTCTTTAAATTGTTACTAGGCTGTTGCTTTAATCTGTAGGAAGAGCCAGGGTAAGTTCATGCGTGGCTAAACTAAAAATATATTGTAGGACTAAAGTGAGTTGGTTATTAATATTTTACACTTTCTTTGTGTGTATAAATCTTTGGGGTCGAAATCACAATACTCTGTTAGTTTCAATAATTAATTATAATA